TGGCCGTCTCTGCAGTTTCGTGGCCAGAGTCGGAACGTGTCTCAATAACAAAATTAACAGAAATTGCAACATATTGTGTGGGTGTGTGTGGGTGGGTGTGTGTATGCGCCCTTGCGGTCTCTCGTCCTGCAATCAAATGCCAAAAGAGAAAAATGAACACGGTACGTGTAAGGCCAACAACTGTGTCAAATTGATGTTAAAAAGGAGTCAAAATGTTGCAGCAGGCGGCAAAGAAATAGCACACAGAAAAAATCATGTATCTATAACTGCTATTAGAACTCGTAAAATATGAGAAAACAGGAAAGAATCTGGTTAATTATTGAAACATTTGAGGGGTCAGAACCAACCCCACCCACGCACCTTCAATCCGTCACAGCTTGTGGTTCGTGCCCCAGAAAAAAAAAAGCTTAATGAAGCGACACACACAAGCAACAACAAAAAAAAAAGAAGGAAAGAAATGTGGGTGGAAGGAAGGAGGTCACAGTCTTTGGCAACTGTTGCCCCCAGAGAGCTCGTTGCAGGACCCATTCACGGAAGTCCGAACAGTGGCAGCAGGAGGAAAGGAAGCCACATCGGTAGCACCAGGGACTGGAACTGAGAGCGGTAACTAGGGGGGGAGGGAGCACAGACACACACACACACACACACATGTGACCAAGAGTTTTGTGGACAGAAATTTGGCATTGGTTGGGAGGCCATTGAATATGATAGAAATAGAAATAGAAAATACGGAGTACGTGCAAAAATTTCAACGCTTGATTAAATTTTGGACTCACAGAGTCGAGAAGGTTGCGAGAAGGCATCATCGGATTTCGGGAAAGGAAAGCCCAACAAGTGTTGGTCCCAACTTGAAAGACAATCACGCAGCAATTTAAAACCATTTTCACTGTGGGCCGAACGCCCCCACCCCCACACACACCAGAGTCAGTCGTCTCAAGTCCGCATGAATGGCCACCTGCTGGCTGTGCAGTGTAACTTCTGCCTGATTAGTTTTGATTTGGTTATTTGGCATTAGGCAATATGCTTGGGCCTTTTTTTTCCAAGAACATCGTCCTCTTTGTCTGTCTCTGCCCTTTTTTTTTTTCTTGTTTGGACAGCAGCATAAACTAATTCCCAGTCATTCGGTGACGCAGCTGTATGCTGGAATGGAAGTTCAGTCTCGCAGTGGGGAGTGGGTGAGGACGTGGAAATGAAAATGGGACATGTGCTTCAAGTTTTAATATAAACTTGACCATTGTGCCATATGTTACGGAAGTTTTCTTCGGAAGGTTAACTAAACAAACTCATCTCTTAACTAAAATGAAGATGGGGTGGATTACGGGGATGTTGGACTGGAAAAATCAAGGTCAAGGAAAGCCGAATAAGAAGCCGTCTACATTCGGAATTTATTCATATTGTATGAAATAACTTTTCCAAGCAGTTAGAAAATATATCGATAATTAATCGATGACATATAAAATTGTGGTTATTCGATAATTTAGCATTTCCAAAACTTTTAAAAGTCAGTTCAGTAGGTAATCGATAAATTGAAAAACTATCGATAATTAATCGATAACCAAGCCGATTATTGTTTGACTAATTAATTTGTATAATCTCACTTTTTAATCGAAAATACAAAATTCAACGATATTTAATCGATAGCACGATAAATCCGTTATACGTAATTCTAAAAATCGATAAATGAAATTTACCAATGATAATGACACTTACCTTGTTCGAAACGGACTCTATCCACAACCTGATAAATGATTGGATAAGCCACAACCTGCGCACTCCGCGATTGTCCCCGATGCCACACACAAATATTGTTATATGAGTAAAGTAAATAAAAAATAAATATAAATGGTCAAACTATAGATTACTTTCGTTCGCCCCCACGTACATACATATGTACGTGTCTATCAATGCTGTATCTATTTCCAGTGGGCACCACATGGCGCATACACAATATCAGTTAGTGGCACGTTCCCCAATGCCGCAAAAGCAAAGCTTCAGAAATTTGCTGCCACCCTCCTCCTGCTAGCCAAACCAACAAATCATTAAGCTGCCCCACCCCCCTGCTGGAAAGTCCAATGGAAAAAGTTGGCGGAGGGTGGGCCAAGCGGTGGCGATTAAGACATTTAAGTGCTGGTCACAGGGGGAATATGGGGGGTATAGAGCCAGCAGCTAGTACCAGTGGCACCTCTATAATTTGACAACAACAACAACAAAATATACCTGGGCGAGCGATCGTTTGTCGCGCGTGTTGAAGTTTTGCAGAATGTGCCTTGTGTGGGGGGGAGGCATTACACTTCCGCTAAATGTCGCTATTATTTAACAATTTTGTTTATGTATGCTTTTCATGCAGGGCCCCGCTAGACCCAAAACCCAGCCCCAGCAGCGCCGAGCAGCGCATACCATTGCCAAGTGAAATATAATTTATGGTTTACTGTGATTCCCCCTAGGCCCTGGGCAGGCAGGCAGGCCAGGCAGGCCAGGCAAGCAAACTAAATAGTGGTACTTGTGGGCATAGTTGCAAAAAGGAGGGTCCCAGAGCAGAGTGCGACCACAAAACCAGTGGGAAAAATATGAAGGAAAACAATTACAGCTGACTTAACACTTCCGTTACTTGTTAGAAAAGCCGCACACGTTTACAACTCGTCCTCGCAGTCGTCCTCGCAGTCGTCCTCGCAGCCCCAGACACAGGTAAAGTAGGTGTAGGGGGGCGTGGGCGTGGGCGACACATCAACATGAGCGTTGACGCATGGCATACAGTGACTTCCACAACCGACGAGACGGGTTCCCCAAACGCACTCTCCTCCAAGCACTCCAAACTGTAATTTAACACGTACAAAAATCTACGTTTTGTATATATTTTTCTTAGCGCTGTCCTGGCCCTGGTATGAATGATTGCGGGTAGAGTTTTTGGTGGCTACATTTCTTGGGGTTCTGGTTGGGTTTCAACATGACCTGCTTTAACTATAAGAGGATACGAGGTTTCTACAGGGGGTCCTTCGATTAGTTAACTCGAATATTGAATAGCTTTTTAAATAAAAAAAGTAATTAAAGCACTTAGCTAGCAATAGATAGAGCCTAAAGGCTGTCCAAAGGCAGGGCATAGCCGGTGACAGGCACACTCTCAGGCGGAGCTTATTCACGGCAATCGCGCATCATGCGACAGCGCCACTCGGTCGGGTGGGCATTGTTTCTGCATTTCCAAAGCTAATTTATTTCGTTGCTTACACATAAAAATCAGTAAAATCTACTAAAAACGGATCCATTGAATATATCAAACCCATAGTCATAGTTTCCACACAAAATTTGACTCAAAGGTGAACCAATTTTCAATTAATCAATTCCCAAAATTTACCACACAACCAAATCCTTCAGCAGTTTTCCCTTAAATATCAGTTAGCCACACTTTTAGTTTTTTTTTTTTTTTAATTGTATTAACATTTTATTTGCTTGTTGGCTTAAATAAATCAAATTGAAATTAGTTTTTACCACAAAACTAAAAACACAATGCAAAAATTTGTATACAAAAATACGTTTTTTTTTTTTTATAATAATATGTTAAGCACCTTAAATACTTGTTCGTATTTTGTATTTGCATTTACATTTTGTGCGCTTAAAACTTAAAGATGACATTGCTGGTGGGCGGATGGGCGGATCCAAAGTGTTGCTGGGTATAAAAATTCGTATGTTCGATTTAGTATGCCCTTTTTTTGTAGAGGCACTAAAGCTTCAATGATTGCCCACACAATATCAATCAACATATATTCGATTTTTTTTGCTTAAATATTTAAATCCTATAAAAATGTGTAAATCAGGGGATTAAAGGAGAAATAAATTATATCATGGTTGCGGGAGCGGGAGCGGGGAGGGTATATTTTGGTATAGAAATATCATTGCGAAACTTAAGCTTAAGAAAATCAATATCTTTGGATAGATTTAGTATATAAAAATATTAAAAATGATTACATAAATAGGCGGGCTAGATGTTTTTGAGTGAAATGAGTGATAAAATTGGGCGTGGAAAGTCTTTCGTTTATTTGGCTGTCGGAGAGTAAGGGGCGTTGCGTGTGGGCGGCCGGCATTCAATTCATATGCGAGATTCAAAGACAGACTTTTTGTTCAAACATTTCTTTTGATTGTAGGAAGTTGTTAGAGCTTAACTAAATAAATCGGTTATTAATTGTAATATTCGAATTTTAATTCATTTAAAATTTGTTCATAGACATTTGAATGTTTATAATTTGTTGCCTAATTTGTATGTTGTTAGGGGGTTTTCTATCTAATTTTGTGCACTAAATATTCAATACATTGCTAAAGGATTCTTCTGATTTGTTGGCATTTGAAGCACATAGGCAAATAATTTGAACAAATAATAATATTGGGAAATCTTTCTAAGAACTGTTATATGCGTAATATTTTTGTATTTGCAAAAGAACATTGCATTAAATCATGAAATTTAACGTTTAACATTTGACATTTAACGCCATCACCTTGTGCTAAGATTGAGAAAATTTTCATATCATTTTTTTTTTTTTAATATTTTTGCATTTGCACAAGAAAATTGCATTAAATTGCATGAACTGTGCAATGAGTTGGGCAATTTCTTTTAAATATTTGACCACATTTAATTGTTTTAGCTATTTTCCACAATTATTTGTAATCTTTTGCTGGTTTAGTTATTTGTGAAAAGAATTTTTTTGCATGCTATAAGCGACAGAATTTTATAATTTCTATTATACGGTATACATTTTAGATTATTTGAACACATTTTTTCAAGCAGAAGTGAAACTGTGATAACATTATAATTGAACAAATTATATGCCTTGCTTCGAAACTTTCGTAGCCAAAAAACTAATGCTAACAAAAGCGTACACCAAAATAGTTCAAGTTTTTCTATTCTAAAGATTTCCCTCGTTGCACATTTAATGATATATAAATAACTATATCAATGCCAACAAAAAAAAAGGATAAAGGATAAATTCTCTTGGCAAACATTTTGATGTAAATTCAAAGCTTTAAATTCAAAAATTAATGACACATAATTACATAATTGCTTTTGTTTGTTTGTTTGTTCGATTGTTGTCTATGATATTAATTCGATATATTGATATTCGATAACACTATTAAAGTAAACCTGAAGCTCTAAAATCTAGGCAAAGCTTGGACGTAACTGGGGTTGTCGCAGTGGAGCAGCTCAGCAGCAGCTCACGTTGCCGTTTCCGAGGGTGCCTGGGCCCGACCAAAGAGCTCCTCATAGGAAGGGGCTGCAAATGGAACCCAAAACAATTATATGATGGATTATGCATCAAAATAGCACCCAAAATCGTGTGTGCGAGAAACTTACGCAATTCGTGTACGCCAGGCGGCTGCCGTGGCTGCAGAAACGAAGACGATGTGGCCGAGTTGGCCGTGTGGGATGGCAGCTGGCTGTAGCCACTGACCGGTACTGGTACCGCAACCGGTGCGGGGGCCACTGCCACTGGCTGGGGTGGTGGCGTCATCGCCAGCAGTGAGTACTGTGGCGACTCTGGCAGCGGATAGGTTGGCAAATGCGGCGGCGGATACGATTGCGCCATCAACGGGCTGGACGAATAAGGCATATAGGGCACATTGGAGCTGCGCAGGCTGGCCCGGGCCGAGGGGCTGCCAAACTGCGAGCCATATTGCGAGGATTGTGACCCGCCCGATGTGTACGACAGCTCCACACCGCCCACGGCGGGGCTGAGCGTGGCCGTCGACGAATCGGAGGTGATGGAGTTGAGGGAACTGCATTCGCTGAACTGTGAGGAGCGCGAGGGCGAGCCAATCGACGTGTCCAGCGAGGGATACACCGGCAGGGCTCCGGTGGGTGGGGCGGACTCAAACGGATTGCCCAACGTTCCATTGGCATCGGGACCGGGCGGACCAGTCTCGGGTCTGGGTGGGGGGGGCGTTGGACGCATCGAGCCCTGCCGGTTCGACGCATCCTGCGAGTAGACCTTGAAGGGCAGATTAAGCACCAGATTCTTGAAGAAACCGCGCAGCACCGCCTCCACACGCAGCTCATAGACAATGGTGATCACGCCGCTCAGATGATCGTCCGTCGGCTGGGCGCCCGCCGGCATTAGCAGCTCGTGGGCGAAGCTCCGTTCGCTCTTCTTCTGCACGGCGCCCGTCTCCTTGCTGGCAATGGCAATGCACTCAACCTTTTGGACGCGCAGCGGCACATGGCTGTAGTACGTCACATACTGGAGCACACTGAAGCGCAGCTTCTCCACATTGGTGGTGCTGTTGTTCATGACGGTGACACAGATGCGCAGCGGCTCGCTGCGCACCGCAAAATCCTCGGGCAACAGGGCCACCATTGTGATGGGCCGTGTCCCAAACAGGCTGATCGTCTTGGTTATCTGCTTCTCCAGGGGACTGGGCACGCTGCGTTGCATGGCCTGCAGCGGCATATTCTTGACGACCGTAAAGTGGATGTTGTGGCGCTCGTCGAACGTCCAGGGCCGTTGGATGAGCACACGCATCTTGTACTTGATGCTGCCGTAGCTGCCCTTGAAGCTGGAGGGCAGCTGTCTGCCCAGTGCCACCTTAAAAATGAACGTATGCTCGCCGGCGGACAGTTCCAGACCGCGCGGCTCAAAGTCCGGCAATGGCGTCTCGCTGTGCTCGTATATCTCCTTGCTGGTGTAGAACAGACTGCGCGTGTACTCATTGTTGTTGGAGTTTTTGCGCAGTATTTCCATCCATTTGCATTTTCCTTTGCCAGTGACTTGGATTTTAATGGCTGCAAAATAGAAGAAAAGGGAATTCAAATTTTTGAAACACAAAACGCCACCTATTGGTAATAGATGGTACCACTGTGCTGTGAATTCGTTCCACCATGCGTGCAGTGCTTTTTGGTATATTACAGACAGTCAGTGCGGTATATTTTAGCGGTCACACTGTGAATGGCTCATTTTTGCGTCAGAGAGTGAGCTCCAGTTGGATTTCTATAATTCCAATACCGTTTATCCGCAATTGGGAAAAGTGCAAATTCCCAACCAGAAAAAAAGGGACCATATATTTTTTGAGTAGTTTGGCCAAAGTTTTCGTTTTCAAAGTTGGGAATTCGCATATTTTATCTTCGGCCACACTAAACCCTCCCCCCAAAACCCCTTCTACGGTCACACTGCACACAATTTATAAAAATAAATGATTAAAAAACACGAACCAAACACGTTTGCAGACAAGTAAATTGTGCTTAAAGTAAGTGCATAAATTTGGGCCCTTGTGTGTGCTTTGATTGGACACCCAATTGAGCAGCTGCGGCACGCGTAAAGCGTTTATGCCGGCTGCTCAATATTTTTTTTCGCACGGGCTAATAGTTTTTTTTTTCGGTCTCTTTTTTTTTCATTGCTTTGCAGCGGACGCCCATTGTGAAAATTTTGTTCGGGGTCTGGGGGCCGCCACAAATATCAAAATGAATAGTGAATATATTGGCAAGGCGATCAGCTACCATGGCCAGCCGCTGCAAAAGATTTGGGACGATGAGCGCGGCGGCGAGGAGCTGCGCCAGTTGGGCCTCACCCAAATGGACTTCAGTGTGTACCTGGAGCGGCAGAAGTATTTCACATTTCAGGAGCGTGCCAAGCGCCTCAAAGTGCATCAGTTCCTGACCCGGAAGGCCAACGAGCTCTACGATCGTGGTCTGGTGGCCAATGTCATGGAGGATGCAGTGGTGGCCACAGGTAGACCAAACCCCCACCACCACCACCACCATTTGATGCCAATTAAATTCCATGTGTGTGTGTGTGTGTTTTGCAGGTACCGAATGCCTTGTGCAGCAGCCACCGTACGAGTTCTTTACACAGCTGAAGGACAAACGCAAAGCCTGGACATATCGTTTGGATGCCCTCAAACAGGGCAGCATTATCTACGCAATGGTATTGAGTTTGCCCCGTTTCAATCGTTTGATGGTGCGGCCCCTGTGCTCCGATGAGCCACTGCACTTGTATCTATCAGATATACCCATAAAGGTGAGTGCCGCCAGCACAGCGAGGGGGGGGGACAACAACTAATCTCTGCTGCTGCTGCTGCTGTCTGTCTGTAGGCCACCATAATGCAAGCCAACTGGGGCCCTCTGCCGCTGGACAAACAGGGCAATCCACGTCAATTTGGTCCCAACGATATACTACGCTGCGAGATCTTTCAAATCTCATCGGATGCCGAACGTTTGTCGCTGAATATGATTGGCATATACCAGAAATCGCCCGATCTGAAGCTGGGACTGTGTGACATCAAGGATCTGCCCAAATACTATCGGTAGACAAACACACAACGCCCCAAAACCCCCCAAAAGAAATTATTTTAATATGCGCGTTTTGTTTTCTGGCAATTTTATAGACAAATTCATAATGTGGAGCATCCATCGATTGTGCACTATGAGGATATGTTGAGTGCGGCGCCAGAATTCGAGAATCCCAATTATGATTTGCTGTTTCAAGTGAATGGCCTGCAGCCCAACGAGAACTTTACAATGATGGGACACATCAAGTTTGGCTTCCCCGAGGCGGAATATGCCACAGAGCTGCGACAGAAGCAGGCCTCCCAATGGGCATTTCGGTAAGCATTTTGTTTTGTTTTTTGTTTTTGTTTTTTTGGAGTTTTGTCCAAAGGATTATTATTATTGTGTGCGATTGTGTTATCCATTCCCAAACCATTTTGCATACCGTTTTCGTTGCGTTTACTCTCTGAACAAACAAACAAACAAACAATTCAGCTCCGTGGCTGATGGCATTGAGCACTTTAAGAATGGCCAGCAAGTTGAGGCCTTTCAGTGCCTGAATAAGGCATTGAACATTGATCCGCGCAATGTTGAGGGCTTGGTGGCGCGCGGTGCCCTCTACGCGAATCGTGGCAGCTTCCTCAAGGGTCTGCAAGACTTCGAGAAGGCCCTAAACTTGAATAAGTACCATGTGAATGCGCGTATATATATGTGCGAAACGCTGGTGGCCCTGGGACGTAGCTACGAGGAGAAGAACTGCATACCGGATGCGGTAAAGGCCTACAATGATTGCCTGAATCTATTGCCTCAGCATGCGGAGGCGCGTCTCTCACTGGATGCGCTGCAGCGTTGCTCAAATTTGCCGCCAGGAATTACAGGAATTGGTGGTGTGGCAGTTGCTGTTGGTGGCGATGGTAAGCATACACAGAACAGCGCAGATGTTGTCGATTTGGCCCAAACATCGGACGAGTCCAGCTCCTCCAGTGGTGGCAGTGGTGTTGAAAGTGATAGCGAGGATCAAAGTAAGTACCACCACAACCGGCGCGCTCTCTGTTGTTCCAGTTTATGTGGCTGGCTAACCTATTGTACATTTTAGCTGGAAGAACACGTGGCAACAACAACAACAGCAGCAGCAGCAGCCATCATCATCAGTCACAGTTTGGTGGTGGTGGTGGCGGTGGCGGTGCTGGCGACGACAAGCTGGCCATTATCGATGCCGAAAAGGCCAACGAATTCAAGCTGGACGACGATGAGACCATGTCCAGTGTGCGTAAACTTTTGCGCGATGCCAACAAGCACAAAAAGGCCAAAAAGAAGGGTAAAAAGAAAAGGGACAAAAAGGAAAAGAAAGGAAAATCAAGATCTGGAAATAATAGCATTGCCGGCGGCGATGAGGATAATGATAATGATGATGATGACGATGACGATGATGATGATGTGGATCCCATAGAACTGCTCAAAAAGATTGACATTAAGGAGGCCTTCAGGTGAGTGTTCCCCCCATCCCCTCCCGACAACCCCCAACAGAGCTAGAAATATTTGACAAGAAATTTCTTTCTGCATTTAACTGCAAACTGCTAGTCAGGACACGTATGTACTTAGACATTAATTAAACTATTATTTAGCACTAGCAGCCACCCAGCCGGCCCCTATTCATAGATAATTCATTTGTCTTTTAGGCTAATGCAAAATGTTGGCAGCGATGCCGAACTGAAGGCCAGACTGCGCGAGTATTTGCAAAAGGGTGGCGGCCACAATGCCTCACCGCCGCCGCCAGCCCCATCGATGATGGTGGCACGCAAAACGGAACCATTTGGCGCTGGCAAAAGGACCAGCAGCTATGATGACATGGGACCCAGCACATCACGGCATGCGCATGCAGCAGCTGCTTCTTCTACTTCCACTGCTGCTGCTGCTGTTGGCAGTAACAGCGTGCAGATCGCACAGCAGGTGGCAGCCAAATTCCAGGATCAAAAGAAACAGCAACAACAGCAGCAACAACAACAACAGGTGCAGCCTACACCGAGGTTCTCCTTCCAGATTAAGCGTCCCCTGCAAATGGACAAGTTTGGATTGCTGCGTCTGGCCGTACCGGAGCCACAGAAGAATTTGGGACGCAGCAGCAGCTCACGCAGTCGAAGCCGCAGCAGGAGTCGCTCGAACCGGAGACGCAGCGAACGGCGTCGCAGTGCATCGAGGCGCAGAAGCCGCCGCGATTCGCGTTCCCGTTCGCACAGTACCGCGCGCCGCACCAGAACCAGATCGCGCTCCAGGCGGCGTCGTTCCATGTCGCGTTCCCGTAGCCGGTCCCGTTCGCCACGACGATATGGCGGCCGGTTTGGACGTGGTCGACGCTTCGATCGCGACCGACGCTCTCGCTCACGTTCCGTGCACCGCCGGCGAACACCGTCACCCTTTGTGGCACGCCGCACACCATCGCCATTCGTGCCCCGTCGCACACCATCGCCAGCGTCGCGCTTCCGACGCACTCGCTCCCGCAGCCGCTCGCGCAGCTACAGTCCGCGTCGCTTTCAATCGCGCTTTGCGCCACGCGGACGTGGCCGTGGGCGCGGCAGGAGCCATAATCGTTACTCCTGGTTTAATCATGACCAGCGGGCGACCGAGTCGAACGGACGTAGCATTAGTCCAGCCAAAAAAGGCGATGATAGTCCTGCGGCCAACAAGCAAGCAGATAATCCGAAAAAGCATGCCGATGATCCGAAAAAGAATGCCGATGGTCCCACAATCGAGGAAGTCGACGAAATGATCAAAAATGCACAAAAGGAACGCAAGCAGGGACTCATGGAAGCCACGTCCAAGGAGTTCAAGGCATAAACAAAAACCACAAAAAAAAAACAAAAATTCTCGTAGGAAGAAGAAGAAAAAAGAAGAAGCAGCGTTAAGTTTTATTTTAGTTCTTATGCATATTTGATTTTGATATTCAAAAACTTGTAATATGTTCACCTCCTTAACCAATTATTGGACACCAGAAGCGACTACCACTACTCAATAAAGAAGCTTTCGAAGCAAACTCTTTTAGCATGTCCCGCATGCTGTGTAAGCCCAACAGATCGATTTGATTTTTATTGCATATAAAATTGTTTAATTTATTAATTTGACATTCCCAATCAGCGGCACAAGCAGCAGTCCAGGTCCAAAAGAATGCGCACTGAGCTTCCAGCAGTGTGTTCCACAGTAGTTTCTCCCACCCACACCCACACGCATGCAAATGCACAAGAGAGCAAAACTGCAAAAAGAGAGCGTGAGTGTCAGAGTGAGAGTGAGCAAACTGACTGGCTGGCTCGCTCTCCCACCAACTGCAGTTGTCTTTGTATGGGTTTGGTTGTAGCCATGGTACATTAAAGTGAAGGTAAGGCAGTGCCACAAAGCTTTCTCAGTTCGAAAGTCTAGCTGTAGTTAACTAGGAGAGCGGCGATTAACCACCCTACCCCAATGTTTAGTATGCCCTGCAAACGACGGACCGGCTGTCAATTAAAAAAAAAAATCATACGAGCAGCGTACGAACACGGTGGAGCATTTTGGGGGAAGAAGCTAAACAACAAGAGGCGGCTGGCTATAACACACATCCAAGATAAAGTTTCATATCATTTTCGCCAGCCGGCAGCACTAGAACGAACGCGCGACGGGTAGCAAGCAGTGTTTGTTGTTTCGCACATTATTAGAATATTTAATGCGACCAGTTATCGCAATTAGTACGAGGGCGACAATTGAAAATCAAATCGAATAAATCAAAACTAATAATAAAATCCAAGTGCCTGTGTGTAAGTGTGACAAATTTGCATACATATGCATATAAATTCTTCAAGTTTCTTTACATAACAAAATAAACAACAACAAAACATATAAAAGTGCAAGGTGGTGCAAAAATGCAGAAAACATATGCGACAAAGTGCAACCGCAAAAATAAATAAAAATGAAGGAAACACGCGCCGACATTGAACGTTTTTTTTTTTATAATTTTCCGCTTGGACTTTGAACGATAAGCGCGACCAACAAGAACAACAAACTATAGCTACAATAACATCTGCTGGTGTATTATGAGAAAGACAAAGAACATAAAACTCGGAAGCCACGCTTGCTCTTATTCGTATTCTTACTCTTCGTTTTTGTTGTTGTTGTTAGTGTTGCTCTTTGGGGTGCGGTACACTTGTTGCCATGCGGCTTATGGCCACGCACAACCCGAATGATTTGCGGTGTGTGAAGACGGACAAGAGCGGAATAAAACCTGCATTTATCGCCATATTTGTGTGCAATAATAAATAATACTAATAATAATAATAGCAGCTGCTATTACAATCTACCGTATCTATATCAATAATCGCAATAATTCTGTGTTTAGTCATAAAATACTATACAAAACTATTAAATATATACATATGTTTAACCTTCATTATTGAGTATCGGCATACTTGTTTTCGGTTGAGTGTTTTGATAATCTAATCAGCAGAACTTACTGCCCCATAAAGTGAGCAGAACTTTTGGAAATGGCCAAAAACTGAATTAGGTTTTGCTTACTATTTTTAGTTATACGAGTGCCTATACCCTTTAATCAGTTACTAACCCCAACACACACTTGTAAACTCCCTTTTTTCCCCCCATTTAATTGCAGCACACATAGATCAGAAAGCAAGCTAATATGTATACGAAAATCTTTCGTGCTGTGATAATCGGAGCACCCGGCTCTGGCAAGGGAACCATTTCTGAACGTATTGTTAAAACCTTTGGATTCCTGCACATCTCCTCGGGCGATATATTGCGCCAGAACATTATCAATAATACGGATCTGGGCAAGAGGGCGCAACAGTTTATCAACTCTGGTCAACTGGTGCCCGATGAGATTGTCACAAAAACTATGCTGGCCCGCATCAGAGAGGTGGGCAACAAGTCGTACATTCTGGATGGATTCCCACGCAACAGTGCACAGGCGGATATTCTAGCCGCACGTGAGCAGATCGATGCGGTTATCAATCTGAACATTCCACACGATGTTATCATTTGCCGTGTCAAGAATCGCTGGATTCACGCGCCATCGGGTCGTGTGTACAACATTGGCTTCGATGATCCCAAGGTGCCCGGCAAGGATGATGTGACGGGCGAACCGTTGACCCAGCGTGAGGACGACAAGCCGGAGGTGGTGGCCAAACGTTTGCAGTTGTATGATGAGCTGATGGGTCCGGTTTTGGCCTGGTATGCGGAACGTGGTCTGGTCACCAGTTTCAAGGGACGTGAAACCAAAGAGATTTGGCCACGCGTCGAACGCTTCCTCAAGGATAAGGTCCAAGGATAGGGGACCAAGGACTAAAACCGTTATTATATCCGAATAGAATTGCTTTAATTGTGCACAAATTAATTGGATAAGAACAATGTGTTCAATGAAGCTCAAACATATTTATATGTATATACATATACATATCTATATGTGTGTGGACAGGACGGAGCAGAAGTCTAATTAAATGTAATTGCCGAAGCCTTACAATGTGAAAACGATATATGTCTAATTAAATGTACTACTTTCTTTTGTATTTTGATTAGCCAGCGCGACACCCTAGTAAACAAAACATTCCCCTCATATAAATGTATTTTGTTCTCCCCCTTCCTTTTTTTATATATGTAAACATCATCTTTTTGTACTCGTGTTTTTGTACTATGTGCTCTGATAATAAATCGCGTTTTGTTATACTGTGCGCTGATAATGGAACATTCGACTATTCGGGGTAGCTTTCTTCTATTTATAGACGCGACCATTAACTACGCTTAATATGTGGAGTCCACCAATTATGGCTTCCCCTCTTGATGACACACAAATGCCCTTCACATTGATGCGTAGCGCACTCAAACTTGAAAGCTGCAAGAGATGGTGTAGTGTGGCGCTCCCTTTTGGCGAGAACTCTCACCCACACAGTCAAGTCAGCTGCTCACACCTGCACACACACAAAGGCAAATCACAACAGAGAGCCGAAGTACACTGCCGGGCAGCAAAAGTAGGCAATGTGCGTCATATTCCAAGGTAGATTTTAACGCTGATTTTGCTCGATTACATTTTTGCTGGACTTTTTAAACAACATTTAAACGATAGCATAGCAGAAAGAGTTTGTTTTTTAATGTAGTTGCTATAAATGTTGTAGCTGACACGCTCTTTTTTGTGGCCTTGTCTGTGCTGAGAGCGCGCGCCGCTCTGATTGCCCTCAGACCTGGCTTCACCATTATTACGGCATTTTTGGCACACAAACAGACGGAAAAGAACAACGCTTGCGCTTCTGTCTCTTTCTCTCCCATGGGGCCCAAATGAAATGCGTTTGCCATTTCCTGAAAGAAATTGTACCGTAAAACGAGAGCAAATAGGCTGCCGGAGTGCAACTGCAATGGAATGCTTATCGATGAATGAAACGCCAGTGCAAAAGGCAAACGAACGAATTTGCGTGCGAAAGAGGCAGAGTGTGGTAGCGATATCATCAACAGCAGAAGTACACTATAAATATGTATGGGGCTGCTGTGCTGCTTTGTAAAGTTCTTTGTTAATGCCAATGGGGCCATAACGAAAGTCCAGCAGCAGCCGTCCCGCGCGAACAATGGAAATCCATTTCAGCCAAATCACAAACCAAGGCCCTGACTCATTGCGTCTACCATCATGCCAAGGCTCAGCTTGTGGATGTTTCCCAGAAATCAACTATGACAACAACTTACCGCGAATCTTTGTGCGCTTGTTCACATTCATCCAAATCTCGCCGCGTATGATGTCGCCGGCAAAGTAAATGCCATCGGGATTGTCCAGCGTTATACGTAACCGTTCACTTTCCATTCTGACGATTCGATGGCTGCTGCTCTCATTAAACACTTATCCAAAAATAATTCCGTCATTAAAATGCCGCAACATAGAAACGCAGCAGGCAGCAACTGCAACACAAGCACTTCCACACACCCGCGCGCCGCACCCTTCCTTGGTCACTATATGTGCTAGCTATATGCTGAATTGCTACAACTACAACGATTTGGGCGATTTTCTACATACAACCAACCGCCGCGGAAGAGAGCTTTTTCGATTTGGCCACTTTGTGAATTTTACTACCTATTTCACGCTAGTTTGACACAGCTAGGGCGGGCCCCTTGCACTACACAGCGGCAGCTACACACACACACACGCAGAGCTGTGTAATTGAATTCGATTGAAGGTGCCATAAATGGTTAAATAATTAAATTTCTTATAAATTATACGTGCGCGTTGTTGTTGTTTCGATAACGGTTGCAAAGAGAGGCGATATTTCGATAGACAAACAGCTGTTGCGTGGCGTTGCCACCAGACTGGGCTGTGTGGCGCAAACAGGCTGCGATTTGAATTTCGTTCAAATATCGGAGAGTCAGTTTATTTATTTGTGTTGAAAAGTATTAATCAAACATTTTTACAACAACAACTACATTTATTAGTGTGCTTCCCCGTTTTATGTGCTGCGCAGTCTATCGTGCTATCTCTCTTCCGCACGCACATACACGCGCGCTCAGCTTTTGCTTTCAGTAGCAACATTTGGCTGCTCGCGTTCGGTTCATTCGCGTGCTGTGTGTGTGTGTGCGTTCGTGTGCTCCGCTATCATCAATAAAAACCAAACATTCCTTTGTCATATCCTGGGCACTGCCTGACACCGTCGCCAAGGCCACCAGCAAGGCGCTGCCGTTGCCTGCCGCATAACTTGATAAGATGAGCAGCAAAGTGACCTTTGCCTTTGATAATAACCCCTTGGGCGTATATCACGCAGGCCAGGTTATATCCGGAACTGCGGAGCTCACAACGGACCGTCCAAAAACCATTCGCTGTAAGTTCTAAGCCCCAACTCTACCCCACTACGCTTCCTGGCAAACTCCAAGACGCATTAACATAGCTCTCTGCCCTCTGGCTGTTGGCTGGTGGTAGGAGGAAGTCTTTGTCCATGACGTCATGGTTATATGCTGCTTGGCTGCCTCCCTCAAACGCCATCCCATCCCATCCCCATCCATCCAATTTCGTTGCGTATGGGAACTGTGCTGTGAGCTTCATTAGTAGTCGGCGGCGTCATTAATATTGTTGCTGCTTTTATTGTTGTTGTATCTTTTGTTATTACTGCCGGCAGATTTATATTGTTAATGTTCAGTTTGGCCCAAGCGGCCTGTCTGGCTGCCTGGCTGACTGGCTTTGGATATTTGATAGCCGCTGAAAAAAACTAGTTTGGTGTTTGAAATTACGAGCGGCTGTTTATATTATAAGGAATTTGATTCGGTTTACTGGACACAGAGAGTGTCTCGACAGATTGTGTTTTGTTTTGTTTTTTTTTGCAGACACAGAGCTTTAGATTTGTGTAATAAAACCAGCTGGGGTCCACTCAGCTTAGAATGAATGGCAGGTAATTGTAGTTGGATATATTTGGTCATTTTATTTATATTTATAAATATTTATATTAGCAATCTAAAGCGGATAGGGTAGGGCAGAATAGGAGCGAACATTATACTGACAGCATGTCGTATAGGTTTGTTGATTCTTTGAATTATTCGCAGCTAATAAAGTGCAGCCAACATCCAATATTAATTCCCAAGGGTAGGGGGCCAAGGCATGTCAGGCTGCAATTAAACTAAATGCATAATTGAAGATTACGAAAGGTGACAGTGAAAGCTCAGCCAAAGAATTGTAGGGAATAACCATGTATATATCAGATTGCCGCATCTGGATCAGATCGAATCATTATTATAGTCAGAATGAAGTTTCTAACTTTTATTTTATTTTTATTTGCCCTGTGCAGTGCGCGACCTTTCGCTGAGAAGATGTCAAATGTACATTGTAGATGTAGTTGACAGATGTAGCAAAACAATGTAGAATATAAAATATTTAAAAAATCTTAATAAATCATAAGCTCACATATATATATTCCGACTGAGTAGAGTCGCGGCCAGAGCAGCGACTCACAGCGTTCCTTCTCGTTTTCCCATGCACAACGCTGCCGGCCCCAGCTATCGAGTGCTCCCTGTATACAATACCCACACACACACATAGTACATCCGAAATTAATTCAATTACAGCAATATTTATAACAATAAATGGATATGGGGAGACGCGCTGGCAGGAGAGCGTGGAGAAGCCCGGCGATGATGGCAAGACAACCAAATCAATGGAGACGCACACCAGCACAGAGATCTACTATGGCAGCGATAAGTATGTGTACGGCCAGAGTGGCGGCTCGCAGCTGGAGCTGCCCAAGGGCAAGTTTGTGTTTCCCTTCCACACGACCATACCGCCGAATGCACCCACCTCCTTCAACGGCAGCCACGGACAGATCAAGCATGAGGTTACGCTCACCATCGATCGTTCGGTGCGCTACAATAATATCTTCAAGCAGTGCTTCACTGTGATACTGCCACACGATCTGAACACCAAGCGGGAGAATGCGGTACGTCTGGCCATAGCACTCCCTCCCCATTAGAGGCCCCTCCTTAACCCTCTCTCTTGTATCCCTTTTAGCAACCACTGAAACGCATCGAGGACAAATCCTTCTGGTGGGGCTCCATTTTCGGGGCCCACAAGCCCATGGTCATGGATGTGGGCACCTCGTACAGCGCCTATGTGCCCGGCCAGAAGATACACTTCCATCTGGTGCTCGACAATCAGTCGGATGTGCAGTGCCAGGATGTCAAGGTGCGACTCTTCAAGAATGTCACATATCGAGCCAATTCCGCAGACAAGCAGCAGCTGAAAGTCACCGAAACACGCGTTGCCGACAAGCACTGCGGCGAGGTGTTGAAGCACAACAAGGCGCAGTTCCATGAGTACCTCGTGGTGCCACCCACAACACCCACCACGCTGGGGGAGCGGGATCCCATACGTGTTAGCTATACGCTTCGCTTTATAGCCAAAACATTTCGCTTGCATGGCGGCGGAGATTTGGTGGTGGATTTTCCAGTGACCATTGGCACCGTGCCGCTGCTGGGCAGTGGCGAGGACCAGGGACCCGGTCGCACGACAACGGCCGCCAATGGCGGCAGTGTCAACAGTTATCCTGGTAGGTGCTTTCACATCATAATTGCCGCTTTGATTAACCTCTTGGTCTCTGCTCTTGGTAGGTGCCCCCATCTTCCAGGAAGATGTCAGCGACGAACAGTTCGAGTCCAACACTTTCAAGCCACGTTATCCGGTCTACACGTTCGGCCAGCCGGCAAATGGAGCCAATGGAGCTCCGGCAGCTGCACCCAGTCTGTATCCAAAGGCTGAGGACACACCGCCAGTGGCTCCTGTACCATATACGCCCAATCCAATGTCGCCAGTCGCAAAGCAGCCCACAGCCCCTGGGCCACAGAAGATACCCCCCTATCCGACCAATTCGCCAGCGCCTGTGGCTGCTTCTGGTGGTAACTTTGAAGTGCTTGGCTTTAGCATACCGCCCAACTATCAGCCAACGCCCAGTGCACCAGGTGCTGCTCCATCCGCTGGCATTGGCTGGAAGTAGCAGCAGCATTTCTCAATTTACACACTTTGTATTATACTCTTTAAGCCATTTTTCAAATAAAACTAAAATCGCGCCTGCAGTGGCAGCGCTGTGCCCTTGACACTGAGTCTGTTTATCGATATATCGTTGTCCCGCATCATAGGCACTAGCTGGAGATGTGCGCTCGCTATATTTACGTATTTAATATTTTCACATATGTAACTTTAACATATTTTACGCATTACAGGTGAAAGATGTCGGTGCTCAGTTTTATTTTGCAAGTAAGGGGGAGGATGGAGCTACAAGGAGCCTTTACAAACAGTATTCTTTTCCGCGGTTTAACCAAGGGGTGCTCAACTTAGAGGGGTGTTAAGTGGGTTAAGTCTCGTCTTATCGCCGTTATCGTTTTATCGCTATCGTCGCGGTCACGCTGTGGAGGACGTAACTTTGTTGTTGTTTTCAAAAAAAAAAAAGGAAAACAGCGGCAACGAAACCAGTTTATAGAGCCTAAATGTGAGCAACGAAGACATAACTGCATCTACAGCTCATACCAAACTATTACACGCTCTCTCGGAACACACACACAGACACGACACAAGCTCAGCGGAATGCCTGGCGAAAAGAAAGTTTTGACGCAATCCACAGGCCTTTGCTTGTAATGAAGAAGCTTCGCCGTCGCCGCCGCCGAAACATTTACTGCTGCAATCTCCCCGTGGACGGACGCTGTGTACGGTTGTCGGACCACATATTTTGGAGATACTTAACGGTAAGACATTCCCAGTGCCCAGTCAGTACCGTCCCTCCGTCATTATGCATTCCCAATATGCAACAGAGAGCCTTTGTCTCTTTATCTTGGCAGCAGCATCAACAGCTAGCTAGCAACAACGGACAACAGACAAACAGACAGACAGACAGACAGCGACGTACGACGACAAAAAAAGTGAAATCGCTGATAAACCCAGATACCCCCTGGCTTACTGGTCAGCCAGCCAATCACTCACTCACTCACTCAATGAATGAATGTGCATAGTAAGGGGAAGCAGCGCTAGAGTCAGAGTTGGAATCTGTTTTAGGACAAGCATGGGGGACTAATTGATGCGCAGGCGAGCATAGCCCCAGACCAGACCAGACCAGACGACAACAGACCACAGCCAAATGACATCCGTACGGCTCCACTGAGCATGACTCTAAGTAAGTTTTGAGCGCCTATCTTTGCTCCCATCTTGAGTGCGGCATTTTTTGAAATTTTGCAATCATCATCAATGATGAGTGTGCAAACAGCCGCAGGCCGCACCTTTGAATAGTTTTGAATAGCCGAAGAAAACTACTAATAATGTTGTTGGTTGCCTTGTGATTTACAGAAATGCCATTGAGGAATCAGTCGCAGCAATAAAAGTGAAATCCGCACGGGCAAACACGCATACGAACACACACAGCTGCCAAAGGCAGACAAGCAGGCAGCAGACAGCAGACGGCAGACGGCAGTCAGCGTCAGCAGCATTCATTTTCGTATTGGCCACCGTGACGATATGGCGGTAACAACGGGCACCAGTACCGGAGCGGCAACCGCAACCACAACCAGCCCCTCGCCGAGTCCGCGACGCAAGCATAGTACGCGCGAGCAACTGCATCAGATTGTGGGTGGAGGCCTGTCGGCGGCCATAACACGTTCCACCTGCCAGCCGCTGGATGTGCTTAAGATACGCTTTCAGCTGCAGGTGGAGCCGCTGGGCAAGTCGCAGGCCACGGGCGCACGGCAGGCATCCAAATACATTTCCATCACGCAGGCGGTGGGGACGATATACCGCGAGGAGGGAGTGCTGGCCTTCTGGAAGGGCCACAATCCCGCCCAGGTGCTGAGCATTATGTATGGAATCTGTCAGTTCTGGACATACGAACAGCTGAGTTTGCAGGCCAAGCAGACCAACTACCTCAAGGATCACCAGCACTTGTCGAATTTCCTGTGCGGCGCCGCTGCCGGCGGTGCTGCGGTTATCATCTCCACGCCGCTGGATGTGATACGAACCCGCCTGATTGCCCAGGACACCAGCAAGGGCTATAGGAATGCCACGCGCGCCGTTTCCGCCATTGTGCACCAGGAGGGACCGCGCGGCATGTACCGTGGCCTGTCGTCGGCCCTGCTACAGATTGCACCGCTGATGGGCACCAACTTTATGGCGTATCGCCTGTTCAGCGACTGGGCGTGTGCCTTCTTCGAGGTGGGGGATCGCAGCAAGTTGCCCACCTGGACGCTACTCGCACTGGGCGCCTCATCCGGTATGCTGTCCAAGACGATTGTGTATCCGTTCGATTTGATTAAGAAGCGCTTGCAAATACAGGGCTTTGAGTCGAATCGACAGACGTTTGGCCAGACGCTGCAGTGTCACGGCGTTTGGGATTGCCTCCGGCTGACAGTGCGTCAAGAGGGTGTGCGCGGTCTGTACAAGGGCGTGGCCCCCACCTTGCTGAAGTCAAGCCTGACGACGGCCTTGTATTTTAGCATTTACGACAAGCTGAAGCAGGTGCGCTTCTAAGTGTTAATCGCAGTCACTGGGGTTAATGGTTGTTCTACCACCTCTAATCGGGCGCTCTGTTAGACATTGGAATATATACAGTGTATTTTCTATTTTTATACATATATATATATATATATATATATTTCCACATACCGTGTAAATAATATTAAGCATAGTTTAGCTGTTGATTAGTTTTCGGTTCTGCGTGCGGGGTTTATATTATTTTATTCTAATCATAGAACAATTCAACTTAAGCAAATGGGTAGAAACAAAATACACTATGAAACGCGCAGCGCACCAGCCAGTTAAGAAACTATTGTTTATAGTTTTTAGTTAACTAAACGAAATCGAGACGACGATAAGTTCCCAATTCTGCAGCTTTTGCTTTATTGTTTTTGTGTTGTTATTGTTATTTAATTATCTTTTATCATATTTTAATATTCAGGGACACCAATAATAAATTAAAACGCATCACGCAATTTTTATCAATGAAAAGATAAACCCTCACAGAGTTGAGTCGTTGTTTATTTTGAATTTTAAATTGTGATTTATCGATAGATAGACAATCTTAGTGATGGCCTAAAATAACTGCTGAAAAGCTTACGCAGAAGCTTTTTGCTGTTGTGAAATATTCGACTCGACAAATTTACTGATATAAACGATCGGATTTTTGTGTTTCTTGTTCTGTCATTAGATAACAAATAACAGGAAATGGATGTTCCACTTGTCGAGACCTGCGCCACCGACAACAATTCCGATGCGTGGCTGATATGGGTGCCTGCAGGAATGGGCTCCAAAGGAGAAAAACTTTGCTTGGATCCACCGCGAATTATGGCATTTCATTTCTTTGCTAACCAGCACAGAGATGGTCTCCACAAGTGGATTAAATTAATGTGCAAACTGGCCCAGGAGTATGCTGGACGGATCATGTTCGGTGTGCGGGACATAAAGAGCATCGGCCATTTGAGTGACAATCTGAATGCGAATGACTTTGGCAGCTATCGTCCAGGCATGCCGCCTCTTATCTTTGCTGAGGATAAGAAGCATCACGTCTATCAAATGAACAGTCTGGTAAGCCACAGGAATTTGAAGAAATTTTGCGAGAAGCTGCTGCAGCAGCAGCTATTCCAGGCGGTTGTTCTGGCGCCCACAATCGAATTGGATGCTCCGCCACAGAACTACTTTGATGTGGAAGATCAGATGGATGGAGATTACCTTGTAATCGTGTACGATCCTGCCTGCTACAACTGGCCCATTCAGTTGAAAATGCTGCGGAAATTGGCCCGGCTGCTGGCCAACGAAGCTGTCCATGTGGTGATCATCAATAGGGCGCACAACCATTTGGGCGTGGTATTCCACAAAGTGTTGCAGGATGTAAACTGTCATGGGGTTAAAATAGTCAGCAGTCCACGTGTGAATGGCTATAACTTTAAGATACACCCGAGGCTGCACAGTACACGTGGATATCTGCGCTACATTGCCCAGGGTAGGCAGCCAGAGTTGATCGACTACGATGCCAATGGCGAATCTAGGGCGGCCGAGCAGGCATTGCCGTACATTCAATGTCTATTTGCAGTTGAAAGCAATTAAAGTACTCGAACGGTTTACCATTCCCATAACGTGTAGGTTTATTTTGCATAGATTTTGCGTAGTGTATTCAAAATTTAACTGAATTGTTGGCATCTCTGGGCTGGACATGTATCATGACTTTGATGGCCCCACCAAGGCCGTGGCGGGAGGTCTCAAAGGCCTTTGCCGTCTCCGTGATGTCAAAGTGATGCGTGACCAGACGCTTGACATTCACTTTGCCGGATGCCACCAGAGCCAGAGCGGCCGCATAGCTGTAAGCGCATAATAAACACTCAATTTATAATGTTGAAAATCCTTGACTCGAGTTAACACTCACTCGTTGCAGTAGCGAAAGACGCCACGTATGTCAACCTCACGGGCCAGGGCATTGATCAAAGGCAGCTTGATCTCCGGTGCTCCCATGCCCACAATAACGACAACACCGCCGGAACGTGTAGCCTGAAAACAAGCATGTCGCTTGAGTTAGTTGCAACCCAAAAAAAGAAAAAAACACTTTCATTGACCGCTTACGAAGATGGCCAGACGGGCGCTGCTCTCTGCGCCACAACAGTCGACGGCCTTGTCAGGTGCCTCGCTCATCGTACAATGGACTCTTTTGACAATCTCCTCGGCACTCTGTTCCCTATCCAGCAGCAGTGTGTGTGTGGCGCCCAGCTCCTTGGCCACATCCAGACGCTGCTGCACCAAATCTGTGATCAAAATCTCGGCAGCTCCCATGGCTTGAGCAGCCTACGTGAGGGCGAATATTATATAGAAATTTACTTCATGCAATTTTTTGGTATTTCTTACCAGTAGCGTGACCAGACCAATGGGTCCGGCGCCCAGGATGAGAACCCTAGAGCCCAGGCCAACTTCGGCACGGCGACAGGCGTGAACGCCCACTGAGAGTGGCTCCAGGAGTGCGCCCTCCTCCATGGTGACATGATCCGGCAGCTTGAAGCAAAAGTCTGCGGCATGTTTGTAGAAACGCGTGAGATTCCCATCGTATGGGGGAGTGGCACAGAACACCATGTCGGCGCAGAGATTGTACCTGCCCTGCTTGCAGAGATCGCAGTAGCGACAGGGTACGCCCGGCTCAATGGCCACGCGATCGCCCACAGCCAAATGCTTTACGGATTTGCCCACCTTGGCCACCACGCCAGCAGCCTCATGGCCGATAATCATGGGCTTGGTCAGCACAAAGTCGCCAATGCGTCCGGCAGCCAGATAATGGACATCGGAGCCGCAGATGCCAACACTATCCATGGCCAGGAGCACCTCTGGGCGTAACACAGAAGAGAATTATTGGTGTATGAATTGATTATTTTGAGCATAAATACGAGCATACCATCGTTGGCTATTTCTGGAATGGGTCGTTGTTCCTGCAGCGAAGCAAAAGTCAATAAACTACGAGCCTAGAGTTCCGCTGAGATTCCTCTTACCAAACGCAGGTCCTCAATGCCATGAAGCACCGCCGTTAAGTTATCCGTTGACATTTTTTCCGTAGATTTACCTTTTCCCGTTCGACCGCACTTTGTGGACGCCGATTTTGAATTGAGAACTAAATGAGATATTCGCAGACATTTTACATGCGCCCCTGGCGACGGCGTGTTGCTCAGAGAGTCAATTAGCTTGGTGGCTCTACAGCTGTGGGCACACAAATAGCAGCAGCTGACAAACAATTTTCGGACAATCATCTCAATTTTGATTAGTGTATAAAAGCGCGAGTGAGTAGCTACCATAACGCTTATCTTTAATTTTCTGATTGTCTATTAGCAGCATTTTAAAGATATTTTAAAGCTCTATTTGTCTGTAGATGACTGTCTTGCACAACACGTGTAAGCAGAAGCTTTTGTTAGTCTAGCCAGGCTACAGGTAACATTCCGTACAAGCTACAAGTACTAAAGAACACTCTACAAACGGTGTGTGTTTTTGATGCCTCGTGCTGAAAGTTGCGTAGATAACTCTACGAACTGTTAACTGTTATATAGGTATTTAACTGTAGTTTATTGCTCTACTTTACACTCTCACTCTTTCACTCTCTCTCTTGCATTTAATGAGAGAACAGCTGTTTACCGTTGCTTTCATGTTAGTATTATGCTATAGGTGAGCGGGTGTGCGGGGTAATGCCGGCAAATACAACTGTCACTCGCCCACTTTCTGGTTCTCTGGTTTTCATACGCTTGCGGAGGGCATGTTGATTTCGATGAGATGTTAGAAAATAGCTTGTTTAAGATGTGCTGAAGGAATTAAAGGGTGGCTTTAAGGTATATAAAAACAGGCGCAATGTTCTTATTTATAGAGCAGAATAAAGTAAACAAATTTGGATGACGGTATCACATATCGCCATGGAAACGATGCATGTGCAAGGTCATCAAAGCTGCGGCGCGTGGCATATAAATTCCTCTCTTGTTCGATGAATTCGTTTTGTTGTTGTTGATATAATTCAACTGAAACTTGTTATAATACAATATACAATAACAATTATGCACCTACGCGACTGCAATAAGAACTTCTGGTTTATTGGGTTTGGCTTGCTAAATAGTTTTTATTGGCTTTATTTCTCCGTGGGGGGGGAGAGGAGTGGGGCTAATATATTCATTTCAATAAGTGTTTGATATTCGGATTCTGTTTTTTTACTTAACATATAGAATTTCTATTTTAAAAACGTTTTACTTATATGTATATTTATGCGTGTATACGTGTGGCGTTTATAATCTTTTCTTTTTGTATGTAGAAATAAAAAAATGTTTGCTTAAAACTAAGAAAAAATCTCCATCACCTCCGCTGCGCAATTAATGTGTTTTGTTTTCTGGTATTTTCTATAATTTGTAGGTTTTGTTTTTGTTTTGTTTTTAAAGATAAATGCAATAATTCTGTAAATGCAATTAGAGAGTTTATAAATATTTTCATTTTTTTTTTTTTTCGATTTGGCTTTGAGTTTGAATGTAAAGAAAATGCTGTATTTTTTTTCTAGGGCTAGACGCTTTCTAACGGCTATAACCTTGCAAAATGTTCAGAAATAGATATGGCTGGATGGAATCCGAGTGTGTACTTCCCATGGATAATCTATCTATAACATTATAAAGATAACATATCGACTCTGTAATTATATATTTTTTGTTTGTTTGTACTAAAAATAGTAACTTAATTTGGAAAAGCGCTGTGCTTTGTAATGTGTGTGGGGGTTGGAAATTAGTTTACAGTTCGTTAAACACGAGTTAATAATAGTGTTGGTTATTGTTAGTAAATTTTGTTAAATCATTTAACACCTGTTCAGAATGACACTAACCTTTTTTTTGAGCAATTCATTCATAAAAACAATTATATTCTACCGATATATATGTATATATGTATATATTGTGGATCTGTTTGCAAGGTTATACCGAAGATAACTTGAGAGTTTTGTTGTTTCTGTGCGAGTGTTAAATGTTTCGTTCTATTTAACTTAAATGCTAGTCTCTATAGGGCTTGGATTATGTTCTGGTTTAGCATGGATATCTATGGGGTATGTGGTTTATATACCTACGTACGTATATACTGTATGTACTTCTGTTCTCTAAAGCTGCAATTGCATACATTCAAGTAAAAGGAACAAATTTGGCCAAAGGAAACTTAAGTTTTGTGTCGTTACGAGTAGACTTCAGAGATACACTGCAAATGTAATTTACGTTTTTTTTTTTGTTTTTATATCACACTCATGGTCGCGAAAAATTCGAAACCGCCGTTGCTGGTCTCGTCCAGTAAATCCTATAAATTAAATCGATTTCTGGCACACACACACCTTTTGTATCGACGATTTCCCTGCCCTCTCTCTACATGGATAACTCCTGGCGTGGCTTGGTTATATGCAGCCGCTGTGGATCCTGCGGCGCCACACAAATGTCTGTGAGTATAACCACCTCATAGGGACTACAGTCGGGCATGTGCAGAAAGCCGCACAGCCAGCCATAGAAGCCCTTCTCAATGTCCGTAATGTCGTTCACCCAGCTGCTGTACTGCAGACTCAGCTGCCGGAAGCCCGAGTAGAGGCCCAGCCCAAAGGTGCACAGAACTATGGCCAGCGGATAGGCCAGAAAGAGCAGCGGTGTGACGAAAATCTTATGCAGATACGACTTCTCCTCACAGTAGTAGTTGAACATGTTGTACCAGGTGAGGGTGCCGATGTAGAAGGAGTACACCGCCGAGATGATAGTCACAAATGGCAGGCACAGCAACGAGATGAGAAAGATGTGCAGGCCGATGGCACAGCTGCAGGTGCAGCAGAGGCTGCGACCCTTTTGCGACTCATTGGCCATGGCATGGGCATTCAGCTGCTCCAGCTCCTCGCGACTTATGTTGATCTGCAGATCGATGGACTGGCCCTTCTTCCGGCCGCGCTTAATGGTGCCCGTCATGGTCAGATAGTTGCCCCCGTCGGCTGCCTTGCGTGCCTGATACCGCTCCAGGCTATGGTCGTAGGTGTTCAGCACACTGGTCTCCCCCGACTCCAGATCCTCGTAGTTGGCTATGTCCGGCGATGAGCGTTGATTCCGTGCCGTCACCGGCAGATCTGCGGTGCGTATGTTGACCCGCTTCTTGGACGACGACCGATTGCTGAGGCAATCGTGGCTCTTGCTTATCTTGGCGTCCAGGCTGCTCTCCGAGTAGCAGCAGCTGCTGGGCGTGACCGTGCTGCTCTCATGCCGCTGCGACGTGGACTTGGTGCACTGGGAGATCGACTCGAAGTTCTGCAGCTCATTGATGTTGGTCGTGGAGCGGGCCGACTTATTGCTATGCTGTGTGGAGCTGGCCGAATGGGTGCTGGCAATGGTATCCTGGGCATTCGGCACACCCAACTCCCCCGGCAGCTGTGGCAGCGGCTGCTTGTTTTTGATAATCAATTTCGACTTGAGCAGCTCCTCCTCGAGTGTCGGATTCGAGGGCGACAGCTTGGGACGATTTTGCTAGAGTTCAAGCAGAGGCTATAGAAGGAGCACAAATCGGATAATTTGCATGGAAAGCACTCACCTGCACACTGACTATATGGTCCACATAGTTTTGCTTTTTGGTGTCAGTTTTGGTTTGTTGACGCTTACGCGGTGGTATGAAAACAGGGCGTTCCTTTGTCCCTGTGCCCATATCGACGGGCAGGCCGCTCGATCCTTTGCCCACCATTTTGTTGGCTTTCCTTTTGAGTTTCCTTGCCTTTGTGTGGCACAAAACCTACATATTTTTCTTGCACAATTGCCCGAACAGGCTGCTCTTTTTTTTTTAACCGTTTCTATTACTTTGCCCGTTACCCAACGCCCAGCACACACACCCACAAAAAATGCACTTCCGGCCCGTTGTCGTGTCCTGTTGTCTGTGCTTTTATCGATTTTTCCACGTCCTTGTGCTGATTTTGCGTTCATTGGCGCTTGGGGGCGGTGCTACTGCTGCTGCTGCTGCTGCTGCTGTTGTTGCCTCTGCTGCTGCTTTCTCTGTTGCCGAGTTGCATTTTTTGGGCTGGGCGGACAATGTTTACAAAAAACTGGCGCCTGCGCTCAAAGTGTTTTTGCCAACTGCAATTTCTGCAAACAACAACAGCTGTTCGGGCAGGATTTATTTGTTGCCACCAAAAAGGGCGGTTCGCATATGTATGTATGTAGTCCTGTCGACTTTTTGCAGAGATTGAAGATGAAAAAGGCACTATATGATCGATATTCTATTCCTCTTCAAAAGTAGAGCAAGAAATTTAACTACAAATTCAAAATCAACGGTTCGTATGAAGATTACAGTTGATAAAGCTTCCGAAGCATTTTGTGATTTTGTCAGTGCCTAACGCAGCTTACATTTTGTACACAAGTATGTAGTTGACATGTAGCAGCTGTGTAGTTACCTTGTAAACAAAATGGATATTTTGGTTGTCCCGTTTTTGTTGAAAGCTTATTATACAAACAATCCAATAAAAATGAGTCCCTAAATTTAATCTTTCTTGTAGAAAATATATTCATCTATTGGATAAAATTACATATTCAGTGCTAAAGGTCTTAGCTAGCTGGTAATATGAAAGCGAATATCAAAATCGAGGAATATGATTTCCGATTATCGCAGAGGACGATTAACCCATTGTCGACGCACGAAAATGATGAAACTTTAAGAATTTTAACGCAGTTCAAGTTCAAGTCATATATTTTGTAATCAAAGAGGCTAAATCTACAAGAATAACTCACAAACAGTATTATTTTCCGCTACTTAACTCAAGTTGCCAACCTGTTTAAAAAGAGGGGTGCTAAGTGGGTTAAGTTAAGCTCGTTCACAACAACAACACCTGTTGGCCGGCTGTATAACTGTTTCGCTCTCATTCGCCGCCTCGCATCGAACTTATCGCAAAAACTATATTTTCCTCCACGAGCCAAGCAAGATGTCCGCAACAGAAGGCAAAGTACGTACCCAGAATATTAATTGATATTGTAACAAAACCAGACACTAAACAAACATGCATAACACACCCGCAGGTAATCAAATGCAAAGCTGCAGTGGCATGGGAGGCCAAGAAGCCGCTAGTCATTGAGGATATCGAAGTGGCGCCACCTCAGGCGCATGAGGTGGGTCTGCAATAAAAATTCCATTCAATAATTGATTTATGTGCCACTTTGAATCGGTTGGCAGGTTCGCATCAAGATTACAGCCACTGGCGTCTGTCACACGGACGCTTTTTCGTTGAGCGGTGCCGATCCGGAGGGTCTCTTTCCCGTGGTCCTTGGCCATGAGGGCGCCGGCATTGTGGAGAGCGTTGGCGAGGGCGTCACCAACTTCAAGGCCGGTGATCATGTCATTGCCCTGTACATTCCGCAGTGCAATGACTGCAAATTCTGCAAGAGCGGCAAGACAAATCTCTGCCAGAAGATTCGCCTGACCCAGGGCGCTGGTGTCATGCCCAATGGATCGTCCCGCTTGTCGTGCAAGGGTCAGCAACTGTTCCACTTCATGGGCACCTCCACATTCGCCGAGTACACCGTGGTGGCCGACATATCGGTGACCAAAATCAACGAGACAGCCCCATTGGAGAAGGTGTGCCTGCTGGGCTGTGGCATTTCCACGGGCTATGGTGCCGCATTGAACACAGCCAAGGTGCGTATTGTTTGGGGTTTCATGTTGCAGATTTCTAATAAATTCCTTAGGTGGAACCTGGCAGCACTTGCGCCGTCTGGGGTCTGGGTGCTGTTGGCCTAGCCGTGGGTCTGGGCTGCAAGAAGGCTGGCGCCGGCAAGGTCTACGGCATCGACATCAATCCCTCCAAATTTGAGCTGGCCAAGAAATTCGGCTTCACCGATTTTGTCAATCCCAAGGATGTGGCCGACAAGGGTGCGATTCAGAACTATTTGATTGACCTGACAGACGGCGGCTTCGACTACACCTTCGAGTGCATTGGCAATGTGAATACCATGCGTGCCGCCCTAGAGGCCACGCACAAGGGCTGGGGCACATCGGTGGTCATTGGTGTGGCCGGTGCCGGCCAGGAGATTGCCACACGGCCCTTCCAACTGGTTGTGGGTCGTGTGTGGAAGGGATCTGCTTTCGGCGGTTGGCGTTCGGTCTCGGATGTGCCCAAACTTGTGGAGGCGTACCTTAAGAAGGATCTGCTGGTGGATGAGTTTATTACCCACGAACTGCCACTAACGCAGATCAACGAGGCATTCGATTTGATGCACAAAGGCGAAAGCATTCGCTCTATTATCAAGTACTGAGGATGATCCACCCCCTCCCACGCTAAGATGATTGTTTTTTCACTTTTTTAACAGCATGCAAATTGCTTTAAAATAAACAGAATATTTCTTTAAATTTTTGTTAATGAATTAGCTTATCGCCTGGGGGGTCGTCTTTAATAAATTGCGCCACTTCTCGAATGCTCCCATTGGCGCTATCAAGTAGTGAACTTTGTTTGGTTTGCCGATTGTGGTTGGCATTTAAATATACAATTTCACAACTTGCTTTAATTTGGATTAGGTTATCGCCACCATCCTTGACCTGCTCTTAGGCTGCACCGCAGCAGCTGTCAAGCAGCCCGTGATATGTTGGTTAGTGGAAAACAAGTTTGCTTTTATCGAGTAAACACTAATTAGACCCAAAACAAGTGGGGCTGGGCTTGAGGCTGCTTGAAGCTTGATTAAAACTCTAAATTATGGCTTCATATAAAAGATCTATGATGACTGGATGGCAAAGACTACGAGTGTAGAATACCAAAATATTGCAACAGGAATAAATTCCTTTTTACTCAGTCTGTGCCACAGACTTAGGCGAGGCGTAGAAATTACTTAATTTTAGGTACTAAGAGTCTATTAAATGACGCGCAGAAGTCGCTCCCAAAAAAGCAAAAACCAATTTACGTTGCTTGGGCATGACATTGGAATTTTCTTTGCTGATAGGCACATACATATGTACATACTATGTATATGATGCTGTATAGCCAAAAGAATATATAAATCGAAAGTGGTTATGCATAGAAATCTCAATTTGAAATGAATGCTTCGGCTGGCAACCAGTTATCTAATCTTTAAGTACCCTAAACGCCAAAACAAGAACTAAACCCAAATTACACGTATGTCTGTATTTGAATATGTAGTAGTACAACGAGGCTTACACACAAACACTGATACAGATACATATAATTAAAATCTCTATTAATTCTAGTACAGTAGTCATCAGTTTTGTCCAACAAATACGTAGCTGTGTTTTGGTATAGTTTGAATTTCTTCATAAATATAATTGTCATTTTAAATGCATATTTCTATTAGATAATCTTATGCTTATGTACAAATGTCTTTTCTATCAGTAATACATTATTGCGCATATGAGTATTTGAGTAGATAAAAACACTTAAATGTTTTTCTTTTTGTTCGTTTGCTTTGATTTGTGACTACGACGGGTACGGATCACGCTGAGACATTTAAAACACATAGAGAGCTGCCTTAAAAGTTGTCTTGGGATTATGTATATCTAAAACTAGACTGTGTGTTTTGCTTCAAGAGAGTATTAATATGATTGCAACTTGAACATTAAATGCAAAAGGGCTTTTGAGTACAAAAGGCTTCTGAGTATTAAGTTAACATAAAATAAATCGCGAGACATTATTGAAAGCAAAAACTATTTTGAGCACTTGTAGGACCAGATTAGTTCAATCAGCTCAACGGCGGCAGTCGTGCAGCTGCCGCCAGGGCCATCTCTCACATTTGAGTGTTGTAGTACAAGTCATCGTCGCACGGGTATCCGTACAAGTACGGATGATGGTATGGCACTCACGACCAGCGCGACTTTTGCAGGTCTATCTGTCCCTCCAGGGTCTTGGCCAGATAAATGACAAACAGCTGCAGCAAGGCAACGCCCAGGGCAACGCCAGCAATCACATAGAGATTGCGTTCCACCCAGACGCGCACAATTTCAATGCAGCCGCTAGTCCAGATGCGCTTACTGGCGGCTGCCACCGAGTGCTCCTGCACGCCATAGCCACACATAATGTTGACCAGGCCGGAACTGATGTCGGTGGCATTGATGCAGCAACTGTAGGGCACGCCGCACTTTTCCACAGAAGGGGAGGAGCAATTAAAGTACTCGTTCTTGCCTGGAATGGAGGGAGGATGGATTGCTGTTTAGTTGCAGTCAACTGTGTTGCATGCCGCTTGTTACTCACTCCAGTCCTGGTAGCCAGCATTGCTGAGGCCGCAGCACTTGAACTCTTGCTGGGCAAAGTCAATGAAATTCTGCAGATCTGAGTCATCGCGGTACGAGTGTATGATCTTGTCGGCAAACTGTGACTCCAAGAACGAGTTCATGTACTGCGGAAACATAAAACAGATTATGGCTGCAAGTAGAAGAGAATTAATGCAAATCGGCGGCTGAGGGTGGTTCTCTATACCCACCTAAAGTCATTTCCATGATGAAAAACATAAGCAGACACATCGAGTAGAACTTCAGCAGGCAGGTGTTCTCACGCAGAGCTCCCAGGCAGCCCGCAAAGCTAACCAAAAATACCACACAACCAGCAATGATCATCACCAAGGATATATTGAAAATCACATCGTAGACGGTGTCCAAGCGCAGCCAACCATTGCCATCCTTCAGTTTGTCCATGAAAGCGTACACACCGATGGCCAGGAGCAGGCCGCCAAAGAGCCAGAAAAGGAAATTCAGCAGGAAGATCATGTATTTCACGCAGGAGCTGACGTAGGTAAAGTGGTGGGGATAGGACATCCGTGGATGCATGTAGCTGCCCCCATGGTGGTATCTGTGGTTACTCATACTACTCGTAAGTTGTCGCCAATCCAATCTTATCTGTTCTCTCTGCTCTGCTCTTCCTCTTGCTCAAGTCCACCCCCACTGTTTGTTGACGCCCTCTTTGCGTGTGGTCTTTTCGCGAGCTCAATGGAATCCCACTCGCATGGTGCGCGCTTTGGCTGCGTTTAGTGAAGCTCAGTCCACGACAATGGATTATTTTTTCAATATTTCACTGTTGGTTTTTGTGATAAACAAATTACACTACAGAGAGAGACAAAAAATAACAAATTCGACAGCGTTGCCACACATTTTCAGCTATTTACAGAGAGAGTCACTGATGCCAAACCTAGCTGGCTTATAGCTAGTTCTGGCTAGGGCCGGGAAAGAACAGCTGTTTTTGTCTATTCGAAATAGGCAGGTAAGAAGGTAGGGTATGATTGAATTCTATATTTATCTCCATATTTTTTTAGGTGATGTGTGGTGCAACTCATAGTTCTGCAACTCAACAATTTGAATACCCTTGGAAATATGGATATTATAGAATTGAGGCAATGTTTGTATCAAACACAATCAAAGGTCAATCTGATAAAGGCAATTTTTGTATTAATATTCTTATAATGAACTGGAACAATCCCTAGAACGGGCGAATGTGGACCTATTTGGGGAAAGCTAATATGAACTATTACTTACTTACTATCTTCAGATAACGAAAATCGCATGAAAGAAGACACCACACATGTAAATCGTAAGCTCGAATTAAAATTCCACATATCGCACAAAACTACCGATATTTTTGCAAACTAACCGTGTGCATCGATAATGGCTAAAATCATTCCTGCCGCCTGTCAAAAGTAATATGCAACTCTGGGCAAGATGTCTGCCAACTTGACGTCTCAAATTGATTTCCCTATTCGTTCTTTCTTTTCGCATCGTCTGAAGTGAACAGACATGGTAAGTTTTGCTGCTGCGCCAAAAAGTGAAAATACAGAAATACAAAGTGAATTCAGATAAAAGAAAAAGAATTTTAAATGATTATCTGCTGTTTAATTGATTGATGGCACTGGAGTGTTTTTGCGTTGAATTGCATATTGATGTGTTTTATGATGAGATTACCATGCACCACTCTGAGACTAGCAATAGTCGATGTGGATTATGGTTCACTGAATAACGTTGAAAATATCTTTAAATGTCGTAGCGCCAACATGCTGTGCGCTTTAAATAATATATAAATCAAGCGTTTTTCGCCGAAATTGTAATTTTCAATAGCCACGTGTGTGACATAACCTCAAAGCATTTGCATTGAAAAGATGGTCTGATTTTTGTTTCTTTCCTTTTGCTTGCAGTCTCATCGTAAGTTCTCAGCGCCTCGCCATGGCTCCATGGCCTTCTACCCCAAGAAGCGCTCAGCACGCCATCGTGGCAAGGTTAAGGCTTTCCCCAAGGATGATGCCAGCAAGCCCGTGCATCTGACTTGCTTCATCGGCTACAAGGCCGGTATGACTCACATTGTGCGTGAGGCTGACCGTCCCGGTTCCAGTAAGTATACATTTTCCGTATTTCTTTGCTTGTTTTAAATCAATTTTCATGATGATAAAAGGTAAAAAATTTATGGTTAGAAACTATATGATCAACCGTGATTATTACTTTACTAGGGCGGACTGACTAAACCCACATCCAAGCTCTCTCGCTTTATGCCATGCTATTCTGCACGTGTCTAAACCAAAAATTTTGTGTTTACCATTTACAGAGATTAACAAGAAGGAGGTCGTTGAGGCCGTCACCGTTCTGGAGACGCCACCCATGATTGTGGTTGGTGCCGTCGGTTACATCGAGACTCCATTCGGTCTGCGTGCTTTGGTCAATGTTTGGGCCCAGCATCTGTCCGAGGAGTGCCGTCGTCGCTTCTACAAGAACTGGTATGTATCTATGGCACCACACGTGTGGGTACAGTCCATGCCGCCATTTTTTTTTTTTTTTGTCAAGACTGCACACACACATGCACGTGCGCGTGCAACTGCATACAGGCCTGAATGATGATACGATGGTATCTGAATGAGCAAAATATTGTTGAGAAACCTTTTACCATCTGCTGCCTTCCTTCTGATCGGTCTTGTATAGAAGAAACACGTAAGCCGTCTCTTGCATGTGTGCGTGTGTTTGTGCCTCGACTGGGCCTTTTTTTTTCCATTGAGAATCTTTTACTAAATGCAAAACTCAAATCATAAAGTTCTTCGATCAGTACGCTGAGAGAGCTTTTCAAATCGCTGATTGTCGTGTGAGCTGTCAAGTTTGAATCTTTTTGATTGATTTCATTGAACTGAAAAACTTGTCGAGTGAGCACGACAGGGAAGACTGCATCTCCGCTCGCCTTAACGATTGTGCGATGAGGTGCACTTCCTGTTCTATTTCGCCCCACGAATTAAACAGCAGCTATAAGAAGTTGGGCCGCGCATACTGAATACATGCCCAATGGATTCTCACCTGATTCTGACTGCTGATCTACAACTTGAACCCCCCCACCCATAATCATCTCTCAGGTACAAGAGCAAGAAGAAGGCTTTCACCAAGGCCAGCAAGAAGTGGACCGATGATCTTGGCAAGAAGAGCATCGAGAATGATTTCCGCAAGATGCTGCGTTACTGCAAGGTCATCCGTGTGATTGCCCATTCGCAGGTAAATATCTACTTTGATTTTCCTTTGCTGTTCCCTTTTTTGCACGACGTCCTTGGCCTTGTTGCGCCATCTGTGCTGGGTCCTTTTGGGGGCTCGGCCGTTTGGTGCGCCTGGCCTAAAAAGCATTCCCGCTGTGTCTCTCGATGCACAGTTCATGAGTGCAACGTCGCAGATGAACCTGCCCCTCGGGTGGCGGGCGCTTGATATATTCCAGTAACGGTGCGCAGCCGCTCAGGCTATGATCGCTCGGTTAAACCATATCACGTACAGTCCCCAGCTCAACCCATAAAACTCTTCGGTTGGAAATGTCTAATGGATTTATGGTTTCCTCCTCCTCCTTTTAGATCCGCTTGATCAAGCAGCGTCAAAAGAAGGCTCACATCATGGAGATCCAGCTGAACGGTGGCTCCATCGAGGACAAGGTCAAGTGGGCGCGCGAGCACTTGGAGAAGCCCATCCAGGTCAGCAATGTGTTCGGTCAGGATGAGATGGTCGATTGCGTGGGTGTGACCAAGGGTAAGGGTTTCAAGGGTGTCACCTCGCGTTGGCACACCAAGAAGCTGCCCCGCAAGACGCACAAGGGTCTGCGCAAGGTTGCCTGTATCGGTGCCTGGCATCCGTCCCGTGTGTCCACCACGGTGGCACGTGCCGGTCAGAAGGGTTACCATCATCGTACCGAGATCAACAAGAAGATCTACCGCATTGGTGCTGGCATCCACACCAAGGATGGCAAGGTAAGCATTGATCCCCCCACCACCGACCCGCCCCCTTCGGCTGTTGTTTCTCTTGCTGTCTGCTGTGTGTGGCAATGATGATAAAAACCAAAAATATTATACGACATCGAAAACAAACAAAACCTTGATATACCATGATATCTATAATGATAGGACTGAACGCACACACATAGGCAGACCAACAGCTGGTGCAGTTTATGCCTCGCCCAATCCCCTCCTCTTTTGTGCCAAAAACTAAAGCAAAGTTTTTCTTTTGCAGGTCATCAAGAACAACGCCTCCACCGAGTACGATCTGACCGATAAGAGCATCACCCCCATGGGTGGCTTCCCCCATTATGGTGAGGTCAACAATGACTTTGTCCTGATCAAGGGCTGCTGCATTGGCTCCAAGAAGCGCATCATCACCCTGCGCAAGTCCCTGCTGAAGCACACCAAGCGCTCGGCTCTGGAACAGATCAAGCTCAAGTTCATCGATACCTCATCGAAGATGGGTCACGGTCGCTTCCAGACACCAGCCGACAAGCTGGCCTTCATGGGTCCCCTCAAGAAGGATCGTCTCAAGGAGGAGGCTGCCGCTGCCACCAGCAGTGCTGCTGCTGCCGCCGCCGCCACCACCACCGCCACCGCTTAAACCAAGTTGTGTGTACTTTGTTGGTGTTGTTTGGCGTCGCTTCTACCGCCTTGTGCTGCGGTAGGGTGGCGCTCAATAAAAGCGAGTTTTGGTTTTCCATAAGCTAAATACAGTACAAAGATTTGTCAATGGGTGGGAGTCGCGGGGGTAGAAGCAACTAGTTTTAAGGCACCATTCAGTTGTGCCTCCCTTTCGGTGTTCGTTACCCACATTATGAGGGGTTCCTTTACGCAGAGGGTATACATAACACGGTATAACTAAATGCAACTGAATATTAATATAAGTCAGCATAAATATAAGCGTCTGAGCAAGCGACTCTTGGAGTCGTGCCACTAGATCTCATAAAGAATACAATTAAGGAATAAATAAAACCTTTGAGGATTTGAGTACATATTAGCACTTTATATCTGCACAGGCATTGGGCATGGGATTACATATTCGGATGAGTTTGTTCCCTAGAACACCTTGATGCCAGCGACCACCTTCTCGTTGTCGTAGATCTCCTTGGCGTAGCACAGATTGGGGAAATCGAAGGCGGCGCCATAGCGATTCTTGCAGCCCGTGGTGGACTTCTCTCCAGGGGTGTAGACGGGCTGGCCGATGATGTTGGATGTGGCAAAGTTGCAGGTGAGCACGAAATGGTTGTAGAAGTCGCGGGAGAAGCGCACAGCAGCACAGCCCACATGGGTGTTCTTCTCGGCCACGGAAATGGTGAACTTGGCTACGTTCTTGTTGGGCAGCTCCTCGGGGAAGTTGGCCAGGATCTCGGGCGAGGCGTTCGAGCGCTCGGCGAACCAGTTCTCGATCTGCTCCTTGAGGATCTCCGCATCCGAGTACTCGCTCTCTGCGCCGCTGTAGCTGAAGATGGCGTTGTTCTGGCCGGCATAGGCAAAGCGCTCCGTGCTGCGGCACTTGTCGGGTATCGACTCGCAGATCCTCACGTTGTACGAGGCCAAATGGGCGAGTTCCTCGCACCAGGACATCTTGGCCATGCGCACGGCCTTGGGCAGGTTCTCAATGTTGCCGCCAGCCACCGTATTGCGCAGTTCGTTGAAGAGCGTGAGGATGAGCTTGTGATGGGACTCGATTTTGATTTCACGCACATCCTTGGGGCAATCACTACTGAAGTTCTGTTGGAGGAGAGGGGGATGATTGGAGGGTAGATTGGATGCTACTGGTGCCTGGTACTCACTCCCTTATTGTTGCAGGCCACGTGCTTGTCCAGGCAGGTGGGCAGGGCGCAGTAGTCGACGCCAATGACAGAGTCGTACAAGCCGCATGCCAGCAGGAGGAACGCTAGTATCTTGGAGAAAGCCATGTCAGTTGCTTGCTCTTGGAACGAGACTGGCCAAACCCAACCGAATGGGCAGCTTTTATACCGTCCCAGAGCTGGTAGCCGGCGTGCAGACCCGCCACTGACGCATCCAATCGAATAACCAATTGTCATAACTATCTGTTACATTCGCTGGAAAACAGAAGAACAGAAGAGACAGAAGAAACATTCTCCAGAACTGCAGCACAGAAACAGCTGCCCATTAGCCCAGTGTCCAAGTCCAAGCAGCAGACCCAAGTGGTCTGTGGTCCACCTATAAATAGAGACCACTCCACTGGTTGGAGTTCAGTTGGAATCCAACAGCGGACATCAATATGAAGACTTTCATTGTGCTTGCTGCCATCCTAGGAGCTGCCATCGCAGTCGACTACTGCGCCCTGCCCACCTGCCTGGACAAGCACGTGGCCTGCAACAATAAGGGAGTGAGTACCAGGCACCAGTAGCATCCAATCTACCCTCCAATCATCCCCCTCTCCTCCAACAGAACTTCAGTAGTGATTGCCCCAAGGATGTGCGTGAAATCAAAATCGAGTCCCATCACAAGCTCATCCTCACGCTCTTCAACGAACTGCGCAATACGGTGGCTGGCGGCAACATTGAGAACCTGCCCAAGGCCGTGCGCATGGCCAAGATGTCCTGGTGCGAGGAACTCGCCCATTTGGCCTCGTACAACGTGAGGATCTGCGAGTCGATACCCGACAAGTGCCGCAGCACGGAGCGCTTTGCCTATGCCGGCCAGAACAACGCCATCTTCAGCTACAGCGGCGCAGAGAGCGAGTACTCGGATGCGGAGATCCTCAAGGAGCAGATCGAGAACTGGTTCGCCGAGCGCTCGAATGCCTCGCCCGAGATCCTGGCCAACTTCCCCGAGGAGCTGCCCAACAAGAACGTAGCCAAGTTCACCATTTCCGTGGCCGAGAAGAACACCCATGTGGGCTGTGCTGCTGTGCGCTTCTCCCGCGACTTCTACAACCATTTCGTGCTCACCTGCAACTTTGCCACATCCAACATCATCGGCCAGCCCGTCTACACCCCTGGAGAGAAGTCCACCACGGGCTGCAAGAATCGCTATGGCGCCGCCTTCGATTTCCCCAATCTGTGCTACGCCAAGGAGATCTACGACAACGAGAAGGTGGTCGCTGGCATCAAGGTGTTCTGAGGATTCCGCAGCTATCGCTGCCTGGATTGGGGGCTTTACTTGATTTAGTTTTAAGTTGCAAAATGTGGAATAAATTCCCTTGAAGAAAATAACGGCTTTTGGGCAATCAGCTGATGTGCTGCAAATGAGTTGGCAGCTCCCGCCGACGGGGCCCTTTGTTTTTGTTGTGTGGATTGCCGGAAATGTTACGCGAAGCTTTGAGGATTGGCAGCAGACGATGCTACAGCTATAAGTCTGTGCGTCGTCCCAATTTGGGTGCGACAAGTGCTCCCAAGGCGGAACAGGAGAAGACTTCAGATGCTGTCCCCGCAACTACAGGCAATGGCAGCCTGGCCAAGCAGCTGAGGGCAAAGATTCTGGCCACAGGACCCATCACGGTGGCGGAATACATGCGGGAGGTGCTGACCAATCCACAGGCCGGCTACTACATGACACACGATGTGTTTGGCCGTGAGGGCGACTTCATTACATCGCCGGAAATATCGCAGATCTTTGGCGAGGTGAGCGGCAATCCTCTAAAGCAGAAACCACATTGTTTGATGTGTCTTTGCAGCTGGTTGGCATTTGGCTAGTTACCGAATGGCGCAAGATGGGCAGCCCCTCGCCCTTTCAGCTGGTGGAACTGGGACCCGGCCGGGGCACCCTGGCCCGTGATGTGCTCAAAATTCTCACCAAATTCAAGCTCGGCGCCGAGTTCTCCATGCATATGGTGGAGGTTAGTCCGTTCCTGAGCAAGGCGCAGGCACAGCGCTTCTGCTACACCCACGACACGCTGCCGGAGGAGGCGCAGCTGCCTCACTATCAAGTGGGCACAACGGCCACGGGCACCAAGGCCTACTGGCATCGCCGTCTGGAGGATGTACCCCCCGGATTCTCCTTGGTGCTGGCCCACGAGTACTTTGATGCGCTGCCCGTGCACAAGCTGCAGCTGGCGAATGGCCAGTGGCAGGAGGTGCTCATCGATGTGGCGCCCGAATCAGCGCTCGAGCAGGAGGCCAACTTTCGTTATGTTCTGTCCAAGTCGCAGACCCCAGTGTCGCGTGTCTTTCAGCCCATGCCCGGCGAGACACGCGCCACCCTGGAGTACTCGCTGGAGACGGAACGCCAGGTGGGTCTGCTGGCCGAACGCATCGAGCGCGATGGCGGCATTGGCCTGATCATGGACTACGGACACTTTGGCGAGAAAACGGACACATTTCGCGCGTTCAGGCAGCATGCCCTGCACGAGCCACTGCTGCAGCCGGGCACCGCCGATCTCACTGCCGATGTGGACTTCAAGCTGGTGCAGAGCACAGCCGTGGCCAGGGGACACCTACATTGCTGCGGTCCCATCGAGCAGGGGCTCTTTCTCAGCCGCATGCAGGGCGAAGCGCGCCTGGAGCAGCTGCTGGCCAATGCGCTGCCTGAAAACGAGAGCTTAATACGCTCCGGCTACGAGATGTTGACGCATCCACAGCAAATGGGCAAACGTTTCAAGTTCTTGGCCATGTTTCCCGGTGTGCTGGCGCCGCACTTGCAAAAGTTTCCCGTTGCTGGTTTTAGCTAGTCAAGAAAAAAAAAAAAACAAGTTGAAATTTCGTGGCTTAAAAAATAATATTTAAAAACGAATGTTATTTCTTTTGGAATGCTGCATTAATGGCCTGCATTTCGTTGCTGGTGAACTGCAGCACCGCCGAGATGGCGTTCAGCATGTGCCGCTTGCCATCGGCATCCCTGGTGACAATGTAGCTAATGATGACATTCTTCAGATACTCCAAGTTGGCGCCCTCACGCGTCTTGCAGCGTTCCAGTCTGGAGTGGAGAGAACAGAAACGTGGATTAAAACGCGGTCCCAACTGAGCCACTGCATGTACTTTGCACCCACCTGTCCACCTGCTCCTCGAGACATTCAATCTTCTCGTGCATTTCCTGCTGTGCCGTCACCTTGTCCTGTATGGCCTTGCGCAGCGTGGATTCGGCCGAATATTTGGCCTTTCGTAGCGTTGTTATTTCGATGTCTTTGCGTGCCAGCTCATTGGCGTAGTGCAGCATGTGGCAGTTCTCGCCCAGCGATAATTTCTTCGACTTGACTTGCAGCCTGCGATCGCGATCGCGTTCACGCTGCTCGCCCTCGACCTCCACGCTATCGCCATCGGAGGAGTAGTTATAGCACTCGGCAGACGCATCCAGAGTGGCAGCGGGCAGCGCACTGGCGCCGCCACCACCAGCCGTGTGGAATACCTCGAAAGAGGTCTGCAACGTTTTGATCTCCTGCTCCTTTTCGTCGAGCAGCTGCAGGGAGCGTTGTCGCTGCTTTTGCAGCAGCTGCTCCAGTTCGTTCAGCTTGCAGCGCGTCTCGTTCTCGAGCTCTGCCTTGGCCTCCTGCCATTTGGTGCGCTCGTTCTTCAGGGCCTGCCGCAGCTTGTCCCCCTGCTGCTTGAGCTCCTGCTCCGACTCGTCAATGTTGCGATTGAGCACCTGCACCTTCTCCTGGAGCGTCTGGATGTGCGACTGTTGCAGCTGAATCTTTTGCTCCAGCAGCTGACGCTGCTGTTTGCCAGCCTCGAGCATTTTCTGTACACCCACCAGCTGCTGCTCGCAGTGCACATGACTGTCAGAGGACGCTGACGACGCCGCATGGTTGCCCAGGGAGAGAATCTCATTCAGATCAATTGGATTGGCGGAGCGGGCATTGGCGCTGGTCAGCAGCTTCTTCAGGCGCACAATTTCATCGACCAGCGTGGCCAAATCCACATCCTCACTCAGCGCCCTCAGAGTGGGTGCCGGACGGGCTTGGGCCTGCTCCAAGTCCTGCAGCTGCTGCTTGAGTGCATGGATGCTGTCCTGATCCTGCTGCCGCAATCGGTCATAGCTGCCCACGGTGGTGCTCAGCTCGGCCAGGCGTGCCTCCAAATTGGCCACACGACCCTCATGAAGCGCCGCCTGTTTCCTGCTCTGCTCCTCGGCACGTAGAACTCTGCGCTGCTCCTGCTTAATGGCCACCGCATGCTGTTCCTTCAGCTGCTGCATCTCCTGGCGCACCTGGTGCAGCAGGGTGGCATTATCCGTGGTGGTGGCGACGGCTGCATGCTCGGCCTTGGCCTGAAGTTGTCTCAGCTGGTTCTTGGCCTCCTTCAGCTGGGCCTGCAGATCGCGCAGGCGACTGTTCTCGGCCTCGTTGCTGGCGAACTGCGTCTTAAAGTTGTTCAACTGCATCTCGATGTTGTCCTTGAGGTGTCGCTCATCCGCATAGAGCTTCTGCAGCTCGCGTATCATCAGCATTTGATTGTTGGTCTCCTTCTCGCGCTCCTGCCGCTCGATGATCCACCTGGCTTTGACCTCATCCACATCGGCCTTGGCCTTGGCTGCCTGCTCCTTGGCCTTGGCATGCAGCTCCTGTACGCCCTGCTCCTTTTGGGCTATCTGGCTGCGCAGCTGTTTCTTGTCCGCCTGGAAGGAGGCCTCCATGCGTGACTTTTCCGCCGACAGGGTGGCCAGCGAGTTCATCAGCGTGATGATCTGAGTTTGCAGCTGTCCCTCAGCCGAAGGAGGATAGGGGGCGCCCTCTGCCCCCCCATCGCTGGAGTCTGCACTGGCCGTGCCATTCACATTTGCAGGATCCGTGACCTTGGCGGGAGAGCCGGCGGTGGCCTCTGCATGGGCCACCAAACTCGTCTCCAGGGCTTCCTTCTCCTTCATCAGACCCTTGTAGGCAGTAACCACATCTGCAAGCAGCGAAATCCCATTGATTTAGCTGCCAGGTTCGCCGAAAATTGTGCGACTAATTTACCTTTGAGTCGCTTCTCGTAGCGAATAAGCTGCTCCTTCTGTGTGCTAACCAGGGACTCCAGCTCCCTCTGACGCTTCTCCATCTTGACCGTATGGTGGGGAATTACAGTTAAACGCTTTCAATTGGTATACAAATTTGTTTTATTTCTCTTTCGTGGCATTTTTTTGCATTTTGCAATTAACAAAATTTCAACAGCTGTTTTACTACAGCTGCAACCAGGCTGCCAACTTGTTGCGTTTCGTTTACAACTAAATTTAGCTGTGATTTAAGAACTGCCAACTTGTTGTTTTTGATCTACAACTAAATTAAGCCTAATTACAGTGATTTAAATGTAACTGAAATAACAATTTTGTTTATAATTAACTTAACTTAACTGCTGTGTTGTGTGCTTAAATATTTCTTGATTTAAATTACTGGTTATTCGTTGGCCTGCTCGTCCTTCATCATTTGTTCTATCAAACGCTTGCGTTCCTCGGCCTGTCGTAGCTTGCGCATGACCAGGTCCTCATAGTCTAGCGGCGAATTATGGCTGGCATTTGTGGATGCATTGGAGCTCTGCTTTTCCTCTGCCGGCGGCGTTACCCACTCGAAGTGCAAAGGATTGGATGGATCGCCCTTCTCATAGGCCAGGATCATGTCGCAGGCTTCGCGCGTCGTCAGCTCCACCATGGCACGGCCGCCCCGTTTGCTGTTCATCACCAGAGCCACCACCTCGCCGTATTTCTTTAGGTACTTGAGCAACTTGTCCTGCGTGTAGTCACCCTTATCGGCCTTCCACTTGATCTTGATGCGATGCTGGGCTGAGTCGAATGTGGCCTGCTGCGGTTTGTGCTTCTCCGCATAGCTGCGCTGCAGCTGCTCCTTCATGGTCTGCTGCTCCTCCTCCAGCAGCTTGGAACCCTCACGGCGCAGCCGTTCGATTTGCTCCTGCAGCACATCCTCATCACTCTTGCGCACCGTGCTGTATGGTTGACTGGAATGGAGCTTGTGCAGGGCCGCCTGTTCGCGCTCCTCCAGCTCTTGTTTGAGTTTCTGGCGTTTGCTGTCCAACTGTTTGCTCCGCAGCTCGGCGGCCTTTTTCGCCCTGAGCACCTTGTCGTAGGCAGCTCGTGCGGTGTCATCGGTGAGTATGCCCAAGGCCTTGGACAACTCGTGAAAGCGTTCAGACGCCTGCGGATTGTCAGGATTCTTGTCCGGATGGCAGTCGAGGGCGCGCTTACGATACGCTTTGCGTATTTCATTCTGCTCGGCTTCAATGGATATGCCCAGCAGATCGTACAGATTAATGTCGCTAAACTTTTTGCTGGCCATTTTCGCGATTCGATTCGATTTCAACCGGCGAGGAAATTACAACACAACAATTGCGGACTAGCACAGCGACGCCGCTCGATCAGCTGTTCATTGCACGAGGTTGGCAGCACCGCCAGCCACACGTTGTGGCTGTTTGTTTGGCGTGGATTTCGGTTGAAGCGTGCGGAAAATTCCCAGACTATGAATCAATTGCATTGGCGACTCTGAGCCAAGCGACGCGATGAGCATCTACCACGACGAGGTGGAAATCGAGGACTTCGAATACGACGAGGAGGAGGAGATGTACTACTATCCCTGTCCCTGTGGCGATCGATTTCAGATATCCAAGGTAACGCGTCGTATGCGCAACATGGCGCAAAACCAAATACTAATTTGATAATCAATGCATCCCCACACCACCCACCCCCACTGGCAGGAGGAGCTAATCGAGGGCGAGGAAGTGGCCACCTGTCCCAGCTGTTCCCTAATCATAAAAGTCATCTACGATCCGGTAAGCGTAGCCCCTGGCCACAACTCCACAATCCCCCAGCCCAGTGCAAATCAATGCTCAAAAATTTCAGGAAATGTTCAAAGCGGAGGAGGACGAGGAAACAGCACTGAATGAGAAGCTGAGCGAATTGAAGCTGGAAAAGAACTAAGGCAGCAGCAGAGTTGTGTAATTAAATAGTTTTTATTTATATATATATGGATTTTCTTTTAGTGTAAATAATACGTTGACTAGTGGAACAGGGAATACAAATTAATTCAAGCTCTGATTATGATGAAATGATTTATACATGGGAGGATATACATAGTTAGATGTATGTATATAACTAGAACTAATCAAAATATACCATTAATATATTGCACTGATCGCATTTTGTTTGGTTTTAGTCTAAGCGCAATCTGTTCTCAATTTGGAATTTAAAAAAAAACCAAAAACAGGAACTATTTCGATTAGTGTGTGATTAGCATAGAGAGAGAAAGGGAGATACAGGGGGGCCAAATACATACATATACATACAGACAGTGTAAGTGGTAAGCAAGTTGGAAAAATATATATAACATAGAGAGTCACCCACTTTCATCTTACGGCTTAGGAATTCCACTTAAAGTTAGCAATTAAATATTACGATTCTCTCCATACAAATTGCCAGAATATATTGTTTGCTCCTTTTTCTTTTTGTTTAGAGAGCGTGCTCGTTCAGCAAGCTGTGAAGGAATGGACGCTGTAGCTGGCTGGCTAGCTGGGTTCCTCTTCTGGCATTGACTGAATCGTGTGTGTGTTGCTTCCAACTGGATACTACTGTTCCAGCCAGGATCCAGTAACGGCATTCGGTGACTTAAGCTGCTTAAAAGTGGAAACTTGGTTAGGCTTTTGTGTTTGTGCCAAAAGAAGTGTTCATGCCCCTACCTTGATATTGAATTGCTTTAGAGTGCTCTCCAGTGCCATGGCATTGCCCGAAAAGTACGCAGCAATGGCATTGTGCAACAGAATCAGTTGCTTGTGCATCACCTTGATCTGTGGACGATCAATTGCAATATAAAATTGATATAAAATCGTCTTTCGCTTATTTTTTGTAACATTTGTACTTACGCGATTCTCATCGAGAAATTGCATTTTAACAGCCACATCGGAACGCAGCTTCTCATACTGTTCCTTGTGTTGGGCATAACTTCGTTGGGTATCCTCCAAGGCGGCTGCCGACTGTGTTATCTCCGGTTTGCTGTTCTCCAAATCCATGCGATACGCATCAAATTCGATCCTAAAGCATACAGAGAGAGAGAGAGAGAGAACTGCCTTTGGTATTCAACTTTCAATGCATAAAGTAAGCGATGATTCATACCTAGCCGTTTCGTACTGTCGTATCGTTAGTAAGGTATCATCGATGGTCTTGTTGCACAGCGTGTTCACCGATGAAATGAAAAAGTTCAATGCATTGAGCAGCAGTTCGCCGTTTTTTGTTAAATTTCGTTGCGTCTCCGAGTTGCAGGTGAACTCCTTTTGCAGTTCGGGATTCTTTTGCGCCAGATCGGCAAACGAATCGGCCAGGGCATGCTGTGTGACGACCACATGCTGAAAATGTGAGCTAAATGCTCTCGTTAGGCGTAAGATCGATAAATACTTTCGTTGCGTCTCCCGCAGCTGTTCGATTTGCGCCTCCAGCTCCGAGTCGACAGTGCGCTGCGATTTGCCCAGCTTTTCGAGCATTATCTGACGCGTACACTTGTATGTGGATATGCTCCAGTTCTTGATGCTATCTATCTTGGAAGCGCTTGTGCGTATCAGACTCCCACTGCCATCGGCAGATGTCAGTATCCCATTGCCCGAGGGCGGACTGGTCGGTGACATTGGTGTGGTGGGTGCTAAATCAATCAATATGATCAATAATCACCATAGTTGGGGGCCCACATCGGCTGCACTTACCTGAATGATTTCGCAATGGCAAGCTGTTGGGTGGATTGAAGGGACCACCGACATTCATACCGCCGGCCCCACCTCCACCTCCACCACCACCACCCACGCCAATGCTATGGCTACTGATGCTGCCGCATAGCCCGATCCCGACAACCATGCTGCTGCCACCCTCTGTGCCGGTATGGACAGCCCCGCAGCTATCGTTCATGGAGGGCGTATCTTTAAGCATTTCGTGTATGCTACGCTCGCGTTCCGCCATATCAATCTTACTGTATCGGTGTGTGGTGTGCTGTGTGCTAATACTATTTAATTACTTTACAAAAATCGTTAAGACCCTTTGTTGGAGGGGGAGAGAGTAGGCGGCGGCGAAACCCTTGCCTTGCCCGTTGCACACACCCCACACAGCGCACACACAAATCAATATCACACGCCGGGTCACAGAGTTCCAATATTTCTCGCCAATTATTCACACCAGTTCAGTTTTTACACACACACAAATGCACGTAAAATAAGTTTTTTTTTCTGCTAAAATTTACCCCCCGTTTCAAAGAACTGAAAATCGGTGTGACCGTAGGGCTGCAAAAACCATCGATGGCACTATACATAATATCGATTTTTAATTTTAAAATGTTGCGATATATTTTCCTTCGCCCATCAATATATCATTGAAGTTAAATCTATAGAAAATTGTGTTTTGTGTAATGTAAAGTTCAAAAACCTGTTTCCAGCATTTTTCCTTTTCAACTTGTTAATATTTTGAAAGAGCACAACTCCAAAAAATCTGAACCACAAATAAATTGTAACACATCGATGTATTGTATCGATGTTTCTTCAGGCACTGGAGTGTGGTATTTAGCGGCTTGCCAGTGTGGGTCACACTGTGGCCAGGTGTTTTTCCTTTATTTGTTGGGGATTTCAACTAAAACGCTTCCTGCCCTTTGTCGCCCTTGATATTAAATAATAATTACTAATAATAATAAACCGTCGAAATGGTTTATTTCAATATTGTGCTGGGACTTTGTACTGTTGTCGTTGCCGCAGGCATCGCGATCTACTATAGCAGCCGAAATTATCAGTATGCACCCCCGCACCAGAGTCAGAGACGCCGCTGTGAAGAGGAATACGCACACAACAATGGCGATTGCAGGCCAAGAAATAAATTTGATAATCAGCACGGCCGCAAGAGGTGAGTGCACTCATAGCATTTATTGGAACATTTTTAAAATGCCATTTATTACTTTAGCAAGCCCGGCGACCTCTGCCCCATTTGCCAGGACGAAATGCAAAGCGATAATATGCATCAAATGCAATGCGGACATGCCTTGCATAACGCCTGCTTTGAGGCATTTCGTTATATTCGCCGCGATTGTCTGTTGTGCCACCGATCAGTCAATCTGAGTCTGCCCGGGGATGATTGCACTATATGCCTCGATCCACTGACCCAACATAATATGCTTCATCTGCCATGTCAGCATGCAATGCATAACGAGTGTTTGGCTCAATACAAAGCTAGCGGAGCCACCAACTGCTCCATATGTCGGGCGAGTATCTAGATTCTAGGAATTAGTGATTTGAAAAATATCAGTACCCAATAAGCAATTAAAAAATCTGCCTTAATCCTCTTATAAGGGGGTTCTTATAAGTTTTTTTTTTTAATATTTTTTCTTTTATAAATAAAATGCTGAAAATGCCTTAAAGAAATGCTTCGAGTATGGGTGCCGCGTTCAGGCGCCAACTTTCACGCCAGCGCAGCTCCTGGAACTGCTGCAGGCTGCGTCCGAAACGCGTTTGGGTCTCCTGGATGCTGGGATTGTTGGGAAAGTTTTCGAACCAAATGCGCAGCTGTTCGGCCAGTTCGTGATGGTCGCTAAAGACGAAGCCATTCTCCCCATGCTTGACCAGTTCATCCAAGCTAAAACATAGAGAGAGAAAGAGAGTGAACAAAGGAAGACTCTAGGAATTGGTTTAAAGGCCACTTACCATTTAAAATTGTATGCACAGACGGGCAGGCCGCTGCCAAACATATCCACCACCTTCATGGGCAGATCCAGACCGCTGGTGCTCCAGTGCAGGCACACGCCCAAATCGGCACTGGCCAGTATGCTGGGATAGTCTTCGATTTCCAGCCAGGGTGTGACTATGGAGACCTTTTGCCACTGCATTTTGGCTATCTCCGCCTCGTACTGCTCCTTCTGCGGCCCCTTGCCAGTGATGACGCACAGCAGTGCGGGATAGAGCTGCGGCTCGGCTAGAGCAGCCTTCTCATACGCCTGCAAGGCCTTCAGGAGTAGCCCAAAGTCCTCGTCGGGCGTCCAACTGGTGCTCGAGACGAGTATGGCCTGTCGCTGTGGCTTATACAGGACACTGCCATTGGCCAGCTTCTGGGTGAGAGCTGTCGCCTCCAGCACACCGGACTGCTTCAGATCGGCATAGCACTGCGGCATGAATTGCGGATAGTCCTTGGAGAGCTTCATGAACAGCTCGTGCTTCTGGGGCAGATCAATCGGGTGGAATTGCGTGGGTGCACGGTCGTACAGAACGGTGACGGGCCTGCAAGAAAAATTCCACTGACTTATTGCTCACACAGACCCAAATTATTGTGATGCTCACCCAATGTTCCAGTTGCGCTGCAGATCGTCCTGCATGGCCCGCGTCACACAGAAGTGTGTGTGCGCCTTGGAGCCAAAGTAGCGCTCCAGTCGCTTGACCAAACGAATAAGCCGGCTCTGTTCTCCGGCCGCCGTGCCCATGGCTAGCACCGTGTACGTGTAATTATGCCAGTCGATGGCCAATTTGGTTCGGGTAACTGCGCAGTACAAATAGCAAACGATTAGGGTGGGAATGCCGGGCGGATTCTGGACGAGCAAAAAGTTGGGACGTCGTATGGAGATCAGGGCCATCAGCAGGCTGAGTGTCTGCCAGAAGGCCTTAAATAGCAGCTTTAGTTGCGGCGTCAGATTCGTCACTGGTACAGCGGACAGCTCATGGATTTTGCATGCACTCAATGCCTCCAGGGGACGCGTCTCCAGATAACCAATGATATCCACATTGTAGTTGTCTTCCAACAGGCTCTGGGCATGGTATTGCATACGTGGACTGCGTCCAATGTCGCCCAGTACGATCACGCAAGCGTGGCGCTTCTTATGCTGCAGTTCCGCCGCCATTCTGCGGCTGGATTTGCTTATTTTCAAGGGTTTTTCGGCAATTGCGCGTTTTTATTGACGCAGTTTTTATCCTTTTGCCTGATCAGCTGTTTAGTAACGATACATATCGATTTTCATCGTTCCAGAGGTTTTCCAGAAAACGCGTTAAGGTGTTATTTTTGTGTTGCAGTCGCAGGGGCTATCAAAACAACGAGGTGGAACTTGTGCTGACAAGTTAGGTCCGGTCCGCCACTTACGTTGCCTTACGTTAAGTTCCATTCCCACTTACGTTTTTGACCGTTGGCAACATAGATTTGTTTGGGCGGCAGCTCTGTGAGCAACATTCTGAAGCGTATATTATGGAATTGAGGAAGGAGAGGGTAAAAAAAAACTTACAAACAGTATTATTTTCCGCGGCTTAACTCAAGCTGTTCAACTGTTTGGGCTCATACTTTAAACGCAAAAATGAGTAGAGAGATCGTAAATTTCTCTCTTTCGATTGGGTCATGGAAAGGTATGGACAACAGGTAAAAACGGACAAGTTTTTTACAATGCTCGTACAAAGCTCAACTGGCCATTAGGTAGGTACACTAAAATGGGGTGGACTTTACTTTGCACTCTTTGCATTTTTCTGGTCCGTTTTGCCGGTTTCCGTACCTTTGTTTACCTTGCCATGTTATCAAGCCATTGTTGTCGAACAACATTTTAGGTCCCCAGCTAAAATTTTAGGTCCCCTGCAGCTTGTGAAATCGCCGGCGTATTTGAAATCTGCCTTGCGCCTCAAAAACCGAAAAAATCTCGTGAACATGAATGAACGTGTCGCGGACGCCAGAAAATAACAGAAAACTGTAAACTAGAGTCGAAGTTTTAACTGAATGCGGAAAAGTACGTTGATAAATATCCACATTCTCTCAAAAAATATAACAGCAAAAATTTGATTATAAAAAAATATATATATTTATATACCCCACAAAAATTGCTAACGGTAATTTCGTATGGTCGCCGGTAGTGTGTGCGGCGCTCTTTTCTAACGGGACATTGGATGTGTACGCGCGCGCGTTTGTGTGTGTGTGTCTATGTGTCTGTGCTATTGGAGTGCCCAAAATAATGGGACAAATTAATTATTGCTAGCAATTGAAGCCAAAATTAAGAAGAAAAAAATTTTTAACATATACAAAAACAAAGTGAAAAAGTGTAGCATATGGTCTGATAACTGTCAAGTTTGCCGGTAAGTAAAACGCACATCCATTTGTAACTGCCGTTATTTGCGGCATTTTTCGCCGGCAAAACAAAGTTCCACCCTCTTGCGTGAGCAGGCGGCTGGCGCTTTCAATGTGTATTTGTGTGTGTGTGTGTGTGTGGATACTGTTTTGTGTGGGGTTATTTTGAGCCAACGAATTTCTATGTACTAGAATTTCAAATTATAATACACAAACTCATAGAAAACCAAAGTTTTGTTTTCCATTAAAAACTCAAAAACGTATCTAATGAGAATGTCTTCAGCAGCAGTGTGTGTGTGTATGCGTGTCGTCGTACGTAAAGGGGGATATCCGCGTAATGCTACACGTAGTTTATCCTATTAGGCTCGTCGTCCGCCATGTTTGGGGGGATCCAGCAGCAGCCGCACCAGACGAGACGACGCTTTCGTCCTTCTTTTCTTCCTTTCCCGCTGCTGCTGCTGCCACCACAGGCGCAGCAAAGGCAAATAGCCAAAACGCCACCCCCAAATGGGTTGGTCTAGTTGTATGGGTGGCTTTCTGGTGGGTGGGTGTTGGTCTAGTTGTCTGGGTGGGTTTTTGGTACCACTACTTCTGCTGCTGCTGCTGCCGCTGCCGCCTGTATCCTGTATCCTGTCTCCTGGGGTTGACTTCCAAGTTTCCACTGTTGATTTTTGATTTCTGTTTCTATGCGGCGGGTTTTTTTTTTTTATGGCGTTGCACAAGTTTTTTATGTCCTTTCGCTGCTTGCCCTCGCCCTCTACCTTTACCGTTCTCGTTCTCTTTCTGTTTTTACTCTTTCTCTTTTTGCTGGGTGGGCAGCATTTGGCATAGAAAAGTTGGGACAACTGCCGCCGGTCTAGACACGGAACACGGTGCACTTCCATTATTGGGTTTATGCGGTGGAAATATAAATGTATGTACAAAATAACTCGGAAATTGAATTGAAACAATCCTGTATTGGAATACAGGAATTCAGTCAGCTTTGAGAGCTTTCCGCAAATGCAAATTTCACTTTAAATATCAAATAAATAAACAAATTGAATCTACAGATTTGCATATACATAAGTCCTAAAATGATTAAATCAAGTCTCTGCAGAGTTTTCTGCTGAATCTTTAATTTAATTTTCAATCGCATAAACATTTTTACAGGTAGAAACAAACACACACACATACACATATATCCATTTATGTGCGTCTGGCGACATCATGGCAAACGGGATTAACATTAATTTCATGTTGAATTCAGTTTACCAAAAACTAAAATTGCTTCTCTTCTCTCTTGCAGCTAACGGGAAAAACATATCAAAGAAAAGGGATTATTTTGGGACTGAAAGATTCACTTTGAAAGTGCTTAAGAACAGAAAAGGCAAAAACTGCAAAACTTCTCCCCGGGCCAACTGACACAGGGAGAGCGAGAAGCAGAGAGCGACAGGTAAGTCGTTTGACTGACTGACTGACTGACTGACTGAGGGACGACTGACTGGAGGCAGTCAACCTGAATAGTCGATTATCGCTGCATCTAATTTGTATGCTAGTGCCGTGTAGAGTTGGGGGCCACGCAGCCCGCCCGCATGTGGACTCCAAAGGAGAGCTCGCGCGAGCAACGAGATATTTGAATAATTCGCATCATGGATTCAGAACAGATAGAGCCAGGGGTACAGAGAGAGAGAGAGAGAAAGAGAGCTGTTTATGTGTATGTGAAGCGAAGATGACAGGAGGTAGATCAGAGCCATACGCAGGCAGCCAGCAGCAGCAGCAGCAGCAGCAGCTGCATCCATGAGCTTGTAAAATGCCGGCGCACACACAATGCCAAATATCCTAAACAAACTTCCGCTTCGCAGACGCTATAATTAAAGTTGGGCCACATCTCGTGATGGAGAGGAGACATCCCAACGCAGCCCATCGCAGCCCATCGCTGCCCATCGCAGCCCATCTATGCATGACTCGGCGGCAAGTGCATCGGATGCCGGGGCGCCTTTCGCTATTTTTGTTTGCCTCTCTCTCGCATATTTCGAGGGCACTGAGCGCACAGCAAATAGGGAATAGGGAATAATCGAGTTTTGGGTTTGCTTAGGACTGTCTAACATTTCCTGGATTTACGAAAGCTGCTTCAAAGAGACCATACCCCCCCGTCGCATTCTACTAATGTTTGCTTTTCACAAAATGTATTCTCTCAGTGTAGCGCAGATCCCGCTAGCTGGGCCAATGATCGACTTCAAGTGCCTGTGACATTTACCAAATAACAAAGAGAATAGATAGATACCAGATGAGAGCAATGCATACAAGAAACTGAGCGAGAGAGCTGCATACAAGTACATACGTACATATATCCAACGGAAGTAATTTCTATCCCCTCTCTGGGTCTGGGTTGTCTTCACTCTAATTTCTGAAGTGCCCGCCGTTCTGGCGATAGTTGAGAGGGTAAATGAGTTCAGTGGCTGCCCCTACCCAGCCAGCCGCCCTGTACGCCTGCAGCCAAACACGTGACAAACATGTGGGAATAGCTCTTGGCTGTCAAAAGGCAGATGATGATGATGATGATGTGCCTCAAATCAGGTAAACGAAGGCAGCGCGTGGATGGGGAAGGGGCAGGAGAGGTCAATGGGCTAGATTATTGCGTAGTTGAGAACAAAATGTAGTTAATGGGCGTTGGGTAAGGTATGGCATTGCCGGGCGTGCACTCTTACGAAAGTTTCTTATTACGTTTGTGTACCACGTGACAACAACAACAAAAAAAAAAACAAAAAGAGAGGCAAAGCAAGAAACCAACTTGGTGGAACGTTAAATCTCCTCCACCTTGCTTGAGCAATTCTTCTGTGGCTGAACAAATGAAATGCGCTTGAAATTCCGTTATATATCGCCGCACATGTCCTTCTACACCCCACACCGCCCCGCCCCAGCTCATCCTGTCAAAGATGAACGCTGCCGGGCGGGTCATTTGCGTCGACGCAAATACCAGAGTCAAGGTATGGTAATGCGAGTAAGGTAAAAAGTAGTGCAGAACATTATTTATTTTCAACTTCTAGAAAGAAACGCAGATCTCTTGGACTGCCTCACTCTCATTTAAGCATACCTTGGGCGCCAGCGTCAAACTGCAAACTGTAAAAGTGTTTTAAGTTGAGTTTGAGTTGCTGTTATGCTACTCTTACCGTTGCTCTCTTTTTTTTTGGCAAGGTATTTTAAGCAGAGGTACAGTCACAGTCACATTCATAGTTCTAAGTTCTTGGTTTTGCCACTCTTTTTATTTTGCTTTCCTTTGGGTAGTCGGGAACTGCAGCTGGAATAGTTTTGGATACCCATACCTTTTTGCTTAATATACCTTGCAATTACTGTTGCTCTTGCTCTTGTGTTGTGTTGGCCTTTTCTCTTTCGGTCTTCATGTCTCTTTCTCCCTCTCTCTTATTGTTGGTGGTACTCGCTTTTGCCTGTTGCCTTTGGGCAATATTTTGCACCTTTTACGTTTATTGTGACATTATGCTTTTGAATAATGGACGACAACAGAAAGCAACAGAAAAGCAAACACTTTTTAGAACAAACCAAATAAAGGATGTGGCGGTGGGCGGGGGACAGGCAGGCAGATGATGAGCATTGGGTTCGCTAGAGAGGAGGAGGAGGAGCAGTAGGACTTTGCATTGTTGGGTTAGTGGCTGCCACTCGGTCTCTCTCTCTCTCTACCTCTCCCTCCTACTTCTTGTGTATTTTGCATCCCATTTACATTATGTTTTGATTAAAAACTGAGCCACAGCTTTGGCCGCAGCAAAAAAAAATAAAAAAATCAGACTATGAAGAAGAATATCACACTTTAGTGAAGATTAAATACCCTTTCCGGTAGTAAAAATCTATCAGAAGAGAGAAAAACTTTTGCTTATTCATTTTCTATAGTAAGTAGAAATTTTGGAATCCAGACAACTTCTTGTGGTGGCAATAATATTTTTTCAATGAATTTAAATTTATATTTATATTTTTATATTTATATTTTATATATCATATTTTTATTTTATTTTTCTTTATAATTTAAATATATAATTTGTAGAGCTAAAGACTGAGCTATTTTCTTCGTAAAATAATCTTTGCTTCCTACCCAAAAAATTGCGTAGAAAATTATGCCCACTAAAATACGAATCAATGGCATCAAAAATATGATTTGTATCCCCTTTTTGCAAACCTCTTGTCATAATCATAGTACGCCTCACAAAGGCACAGCAAATCACAAGAAATGCAAACAAAAGAGCCGAGCGAGAGAGTGAAACGAAACGAAGAGCAAAAAGCAAAGGCAAAGGCAAACAGAACGTAACAGTAACAGTAACAAAGTGTGCTAGCCGTCTCCCAGTGGCATGGAGTGGGGGTGGGTGGGTGGTTGGTGTGGGTAAGTAGCTTCCAGTGCGGCGGTCAGTTTCCAGGACAGCACAAAAAAAAAAACAAAAAAAAATATATGTTGCGGCCAAGTGAAAAAATGCTGATTAAAATGACCAAAGAGCAAACTTTGTGGCACTGCAAAATGTATTAAAGTGAAAATCCTCTGCTTAAAGATGACATAAAGCGAAGGCAAGAGTATGGCATGTATTTATTTAGCAGTCATAGCTCCTGGGGAGTACCAAAATGGTGTCCAATATTTTGTGAGTGCCCCCTAAATATTACCGTTAGTTAAGAGCGCGCTCTGGCACAGGATTGATTGTGTTTTCAAACGGTGAAGAGACGAACAAGAGCCGAAGAGGCAGCTAGAGAAATTCTAGACTTTGCAGATGATAAATAAAGATTCAAACTCAAAGTAGAATTTAATTAAAAACAGTTTTTAATATTATTTTAACATGATTATATTTTAATTTGAAAGTTAAGTTTTCGGTGTCACTTAGGCAAGTGAACAAAATCTCCTGCACAAAATTAGATTTCTAATAAACACAATTTCTTTTGTTTGCTTGTCCGTTCCCTTTGAAAACCAATTAAAATTATAGCCCTCCCTTTACACACAAGTAAAACAAAAACAAAAACAAGGACAACATGTTACATGCTCGACAGGACACGGCACACGCTGCTCTCTCTCTGACGACTGGCGCCTTGTCACCTTCCAGGAAAAAAAAGCAGGAAGAACCAAAAAAAAAAGAGCAGCGAAACCCGAGACAGGAGACGGGCCACAGAGCGAGTGAGTCATTATAGTGACAGCGGCAGGAGCAGCAGGAAGAAGGATGTGATGTTTGTCTGCCTGTCTAGTTTCGGGCCATTACAGAGTGGCACAACTCTGGCTTAAGCTTCGAGAGCCAGCACAAAACCATTATTATAGAATGAAGTTGTGCTAAAATTAACAAAATGAATGGTACAAATATTTCACTTTTGAGGTTTGTGTGTGCAGGTGGTGGGGGGGAGGGAGGTCTGATGTGCGGGGGAGGCTGTGACAGGTCTATTCATGTTCGGTTTTGCTCAGACTCCCAGTCCCAGTCCCACTCTCGCTCTGCCAGCTGCCATCTGGCTCTTCCACTCACTCTTTCTCTTCCTCTCTCACTCTCTCTCTCTCTCTCTGTCTCTCTGTCTCTCTGTCTTTGCCATCTTCAAATTTCGGTTCATTGTCATTCTCGTGGCTTGTAATCAAACAAATGACTGCACCCAGGTGTTGCCACAGGCGTGTGCTGTGCCCCCCCCCATGCACAGCCACGATAACAGGCCACCGCAAGGCACCACCTAAACGCCCCCACCCTCTCCTGGTCAGCCCTTCCCTTCCTTTTGGCAGTACCATTCCCTTCTGCCTCTAAAGCTCTTTTCATTGCCTGTCCTTCAGCTTCATTTTGCTCTTTACGTGCTGTTGGGCCTTCATTATTGGCTTTTGGCAGGCTCTTATTACCTCTCGTCCCCGCTCTCTCTCTCTGGCTACCCCTCTTGTTTCTTAGGGACTCACCCACCCACCTGCCCCCTCTTTACTTTTAATGATGCGCAATTTGTCGTTAATTTTTTGGGCATTTTGTTTTATGTTTTATTTCAGCCTCTCATCGTTTTTGCCCCAGCTGAGACTTGTTCCCAGTCCCGCTCTCCTTCCATCGAGCTTCCTGTGTTTCCTGTGTTGTGTGTGTTCTTCCTTCACCCACACACACACACACACACACACACATATTCGTTGACTTCTTCAGCTTGTTCTTGTTCTCTTCCTCTTGGTTTTAGTGCTCTGTCTCTCTGACTTTTGGGTGAACTTTTTGTCTTATGTATTTTATGGGTCCCTGGCCCGAAACAAACACATGAACAAAACTTTTTGGCATTGTCATCATCATTTCATTAATGGGATTTTTAGTTGTTATTTCTATATGTACCCACTATACGCTCTGTATTTGTTGTTCTCTCCCCTTGATCTATGTACGTTCCTTTTCTTCGCATATATTTTGGATGGGGCTGGCTATTAAAACGTGATTATGTGCTCCAATGGGGGGGGGGGGGGGGGGGGGTACACTG